GGGTGTATTTTATTATATGTGGCATTGCCCCATAATAATGTTAAATATGGATAAGTGTGAATGTATTAAAGAGTTGTAAATCATTTTATGGTGAAGTATAGGTAAATATTTTGAAACCCTTCCGAGAACACCCACTGCTGGAGCGATCATTTTGCATAAAACACCAATATGAACCTCCCAAGTGAGTTTAGAGTCTATATTAAGGCCTAAATACTTTATAAAGTTGTTGCGTAACAAAGGCTGACTATGAAAATTTATAATCAATTGTTGCCAGTCATCACCTTTAGTAATAACCATGTAACTTGATTTTTCAACATTTAAGGTTAATTTATGGAAACGTAGCCATTCACTTACTGTCCTTAAATCCTTCTCTACAATATCTTTCATTACATCCGGATCCCTTCCAAAATACAATAGACAAGTGTCATCTGCATACAAATTTATGGCTCCATTCAGACGAAGAAGTGAAATGGAATTTATGTACACCAAAAATAAGGTTGGTCCGAAGATAGAACCCTGCGGCACTCCATACTGTATGTCTTTAGTTGAACTCTTGTTACCACCACACTGAACAAACTGCAGTCTCCCATCCAAATACTCTCTGAACAACAACAAAGCCGTGCCACGAATACCAGATTGTTCCAGAACAGACAGCAAGACAGAATGATCCACTGTGTCAAAAGCTTTTTTTAGATCCAATGACAGCAAAACGCACTTAAATCCTTTATCAACTTTTTCATAAATGTTAGTTAATAAGTCAGTTGTGGCGGAGACTGTACTGCTATTTCGCCTAAATCCATACTGACCAGGGTACCAAAAGTTAACTGAATCAAGAAAAAAATTTAGTCGATTGTTAACACAAGACTCCAATACTTTTGAGATAGCCGTCAATAATGAAATGGGCCTTTAATTGTGAACTGAAGAGCGATCTCCGTCTTTAAAGAGTGGGATAACTTTCGCCATTTTCAACCCATTAGGAATGGAAACCTTGACAAGTGTGAGGTTCACAAGTTTACACAGCAGAGGCACCATCTCATCTCCGAACTCCTTGATTACGTCAATACTCAATTCATCGGCTCCTGGAGCCTTGCCTGGTTTAAGGTTTTTCACGATTTCTGCAATTTCCTCTATGGTGGCATTTTCCCAATTATATAAGTGTCTCCCGCTATCTGGCATTTGCGGTATGAGATTTGTAGGAGGAATTTTGCTAGCAAGGTCTGCAGCTATCCCAGTAAAATAATCATTAAACAAGTTGGCTACTTCTATTGGATTATCAGTCAGTGTGTTATTTTTCAAGAGTTTTGGGACTTTATTACTAGCTGGTTGTGGTTTGGAATTATGTAGAACAGAATTGAGTACATTCCATAGCTTTTTTGTGTTGCCTTCTGCCCTGTTGATCTCATTACTATAATACTCTTTTTTGGTATTTTCTATGGCCCTTTTGAATTCCTTTTGAGATTTTTTATATTGGTCTTCTAAAAAGACATTGTTAGGAAATAATTTGTGTCTTTTGTAGTGGTAATCACGTTGACACAATAAGTTGTATAATCTTACATTGAACCATGGTGCACTTTTGCTGCGAAATCGATTTCTATAAGTTTTATGGTTCAAATTATTCAAATAAGTACGGATCATTTGATCACACAAAATGTTAGGGTCATGCCATTCACAGCTTCTTAATTGAATTAAGTCCCTTCTGAATAATGTTTTGTTCAAACTCGTAATAGTATAAGTGCTGCTTGCATTACTGTCAACTCTTTTCCTAGATCCTACAGACAGAAACTGGAGTCTATGATCAAGCAGAGCATAATCTATTAGAGACAAACTACTGGTATATCTCAAGTTATTGGTTATTACATAGTCGATTAGGGAGCTTGAATTACTTGTTATTCTTGTGGGAATCGTTTGGTTTACAATATTAAAACCGTTAGAATTAGCTATGTACTGAAGCAGGTCACGTTGAGCGGTGAGACTTGAAAAGTTGATATTAAAATCTCCCAGTACCCACGAAGTTTTGCCTTTACTTGCCATGAGGCCAAGTTTTTCATCCAGTAGTTGTAAAAATAAATTATAATCGAAGTCGGGTGGCCTATATATGGCTCCAATAATAGCATCAGTCCCCTCAATAGAAATGAAAACCATAGAACAATTTGTTTCAAGTTTTGATATTATCTGAAATGTATAGTTGTCTTTCAGTAGGATACCCACTCCACCACCTCTCTTCTGTCTACTTATATAAATTGTATTATATCCATTAAAATTAAAATATTGAACTTCAGTTGGAGATCATATTAAGCAAAATTGAAATTGAATTCTTATTATCCAATCTGAAGTGTACTGAACTCTCCTGAATCAGGTTTCTCAAAATTTAGCTAGCAAGTTAGCTAGTAGGATTTTATCGGAAAATAACCGAATATTTAAGCATGTAAATTTTGAGAAAACCTGATTCAGCAGAGTTCAGTACACTTCAGATTGGATAATAAGAATTCAATTTTGTTTAATATGATTTCCAAAATTTTCGGCCGGGGGGGGGGGGCTGAGCGCCAAGTTAGTCCCCCAGTAGGATTTTGTAGGAAAATGACCGAATATGGAAATTTTCAGAAAAACTTGATACAGCACAGTCCCAGCACAGTTCAGATTGGATAAGAATTCAATTTTGTTTAATCTGATTTCCAAAATTTTTGGGGGGGCTGAGCGTCAAGTTAGCCCCCCACAAGGATTTTGTCGGAAAATGACCGAATATGGAAAGTTTCAGAAAAACCTGATACAGCACAGTTCAGCCCACTTCAAATTGGATAAGAATCCTTTTTAGTTGCATCTGATTTCCAAAATTTTGGGGGGGCTGAGCGTCAAGTTAGCCCCTCATCTATTTTGTCCTATAACTTTGTTATCGCAACGGCACAGTTCAAAATATCATCGGCACAGTAAAGCACACTTCGAGCACAGTAAGTGGTTGCAATTTTTTTAGAAAATTCTAATGTGGGGGGGCTAGTTTGACGCAGCTCTTATTGCACTCCTGACAAAGCTGTATAATGCCTGCATAGAACAGGGAGTATATCCAAGATTTTTGAGGTCTTACTGAGGAACCAGTTGTGTGATTACCTCGAATCAAATGGTATACTCGTGGGTGAGCAGTTTGGCTTTCGGAAGGGAAGATCTACTGTAATGGCATTAAACAGGATGTGTGAGGGCATATTCCAGGGCTTTGAAGCAGGTGATTTTGTGGGTGCTGCGTTTTGCGACCTCTCCAAGGCCTTCGACTGTGTCTCCCATGATATCCTCTTGGACAAGCTTTAATTTTATGAGTTGCCAGTCGTTTCGAGGTTATCTCACGGACAGGCGACAGGTTACTTCGTTTCGGGGAAACGTATCGGATGAGAGAGTTATGAGACATGGAGTGCCCCAGGGCTCAATTCTAGGACCTCTACTCTTTCTTATATATGTCAATGACCTGTCATCGTCATTGCAACCAAGTGAAGTCACCTTATACGCGGACGACACCAGTTTCTTGTTACGGTCTGGCGAGTGTGATTTACTGAGAGAGCAAGTGAGAGAATGTGTTGAGAATGTGGGTGACTGGTTTACATCCAACCGACTAACATTAAATTTGACAAAAACGCAACAGGTCATTTTCTCACTTAGGCAATCATGAGGTGGCTGACAATCCTCAGCGAGTGGATTTTCTGGGAGTCACTCTGGACCCTTAAACTCACTTTTGAGACTCATGTTGACATCGACATCATACCTAAGAGGGTGGCTTCAGGAATCTTTGTGCTGCGGGGCCTGTCAAAGAATGCCGAACAAGATGTATGTCTGACTGCCTATTATGCTCTAGTTCACCCGATATGTATGATGGGCTGCTTGTCTGGGGATACTTCAGTCATGCGAATAGGTTTTTTCGGCCTGCAGTGGAGAGCAGCCAGAGTTGTCGCTCAGGCTGGATATCGTGATGATGCAAGGCCAATTTTTAAAAAACCAATGTCCCAACACTACCTGAGCAATACATTTATGAGTCACTGATTTATGCCCACAATAGCTGGGAAAAATTCGGTAGAGTAGATGAGCAACACCATTATGATACAAGAACACATAATAACCTGCGTATATAGTTTTTGAGGCTGCGAAGCTCGTGGAATGCCACGCTACAACAGGCTACCTGATGAAGTGAGGGAACTCCCAATGAAACGATTCAATAAGGCTGTGATTAAGGCATATTTATTGAGCAAGGTTTTTCATAGTGTTGATGACTTTCTGAATTGTAATTTATCAAAAACTAACTCATGTAATGTAGGCAATAGTTAATTTTAAGCGTGATATTTATTGTTTTGTATAATTGAGTGGACTGACACTCCCATCAACTTTATGTCTTGTAATCTGTGGGTTTGAGTTTCTTCACCTTTTACATTTTTTACATTTTTACATTTTTTATTATTAATAAACTGCTCGCCAAAAAAACGGGACAAGCAATTTTTAGCACCATATTCAATTTGTAATAACTTTTTCATTTTATTTTTGTTTTTAATGCGGTTTGTGGTATTCGATAGGCCATGTTGTAGACCATGTGGGAGAAGAAAATTTTTTTCGAAGAAATGCATTTTCGAAGTTATACAGGGTGAATAATAAATTGATGCAAAAGTACAAAAAATATGGAGGTCTGCCATATTGGCAATAATTTTTTTTTGGATTTCTGTATGGGCCTTTAGTAAGTTAATATCAATATCTCCAGACGTATTTGCCAGTTTCAGATTTCTCAGCCCCCAAGGCATATCTCTATGGATCTTGTTTATGATTGCCTCTTAGGTGGCTTGTATTTAGGAAGTAAACCATACAGCCGAGGCAGAGCCCTACATGCCCTGGTCGGCCTAGTTAAACTGTGGGGCCTCCACATCTCCAGTATCTTCTTACTCCTAGAAAAACAAGATAGTATTATAATTGCTCTCACCAAAAAACACTGTAAGAAATCTAGCCTGATTAAACTTACAAAAAATAAAAACACAAAATAATTCTCACTTAGGTATATTACGTATTTTAACCCTATTATAAATCTAGGTGTGATATTAGGAAATCTTCAATCATCAGGTAGATCCTGGCCGATTTTGTTCACATCAAAATCTATAAATACCACGAAACGAAAAAAAAAAAGACAAAAATGAATAAAGACAAAGTAGAGAGTCTAATCACCCTAAAAGCCTAAATATAACGTGATAACTATTATTATTTTTTGATCAAATTTCTTTCTAAAATTAAAAATGTCAATATCTTAATTAGGTAAAATTAAAACAATCAAATCATTAAAACATGATTAATAAAGAATAAATATACTTAGACGATTAACAAGTGTATAAACTTAATGATTACAGATAGGATTTTGTAATAATAGAATTACATACAAAAAAAAAATTATGTATGTATACATTTTTTGAAGTAAAGAGTTCATAATTAAGGGTCGATACTTTTGCTCTTGAGAGCAAAAGTAATTAATGTAATTAATTGAAAATACAATAAATATATAAAAATTCATGTCAGTTTAAATGTCTTATATTAAATAGTTTTTCATTATTTCACAAGTTTGCATCTTTTTCTACTAAAACCTCAAATATTTTGCCTTTGAAAAACAAAAAAAGTCTATGTACAAATAACAAAAAAAAAAAAATTGCAATGATGCACGTGCAGATCCGGGTTGTCGATTGAGTTCTTCACAGGGAGAAATAAACGGTGTTATTCGCCCCATGAACTATTTGTCAGTCGGTTATAATGCGCCTGAACTTCTTGGGCGGCTGAGGATGGTCGTCGTCGAAATTTTCGTAGGCGAAATCGGGCAGGAATTTTTCTAGTTGTTCGTCAAAGAACTTTTCTAGGCTTTTGGCGTCTTGATACACTTGAGATTCCACCTAAAAATAATAATTGATTGAAAATATATGTCATCCTTACTAACTTTGCTACAAGCAAGAAAGCCATTTTAAATAGGAAAATTGTGGAAGAGAAACTCCCTGGTTTTTACATTAAATGCGATCAAACTGAAAACCAGCGAAAATACCTAAAGCAGATTCTGGCAAGACTGGAGAAGAAAAAAAATGAAGGGCATGTCAATGGCATTCCCAAAATATTGCCCAAATATGCCCAAATATTTGCGTGGTGAAATAGTAAAAATCAAGCCTCAGTTTCTTACCGGATTAAATATGTAAGCATTCTGCAACATCAACCTGACATCCTTAACCAAATCGTCAATACTTTTATAATGATTGTCAGAGGCCCAATTCAGTTTTTGCCTGATTATGTCCAAGGCGATTGGTTTCTTGATGATTTGATGGTACTCGACATTTTCAGCTCCAATAATCTCTCTGAAGGGTAAACTGGTTTCGTATTGGCAATACAATTCCAAGACGATTCGTTCGGCGATTTTTCTATCTTTCAGACTCAATTCGCCTTCTTTTTTGTCGGTCAGAGCGTTGTCGGAGATGTCGGCGAAATTCATGCAGAGCAGGCATTGCCAAGTGTCGTTTTCTCTGAAAAAAAATGTAAACAATAATAAAAAAATTGTTGATGACTTAATTGGCACTCATGCTTTGTGAATCTAATCAAAATTTACAACAAAAAAGGCAAAAGATTTTACATTATCCTTATTAATTTTAATGATTTCGGTAGGATTTCAATAAAGTAATCACTAATTAAATGAAATGTGAATTAGTTAATTCACTATACAATGTATTGAGAATCCACTATACCATGCTTTTAGTGATATGATAAAACAAATTCTCTTACAATGGAAAAAACCCTACTTAACAAACATTCAAAAACAATCCTAAATTAAACATACAAACCTTTTGCCCTTTCGTTTGCTACGAGAAAAGGTATTATATAAATGCACAATTTGTGCGCGTTTAAAACTATAAATTATTATTAGTGAGTAAAGTTTCGTGTAAGAATATTTTTGCTCGTGTCTTATGTATATGCAGAATATATCAGATAAATAAAGCAAACTTACTCGACACTCAAATTCGGTATGTGACAATACTGATGGAAGACTTTGGGACACTTGTCACAGCAAACCAGCTCGCCGCCGTCCATGCAAACTGCGCACCAATCTTCATTCGGATCGTCTTTGTTGGTTTCCATAAGTTCCGCTTTGATTTTTGGCGCTGGAGTGGCGTCACCTGTTGAGCTGTCAACATGTGGCGATCCACCTAAAAAAAAAATATCTGTTGAATAGTTTAAATTAAAAGCCTTAGGAGTAGTCAATGTTTTGAGGAATTGACGAGTTTCTTTATTGAATAGTACAACATTTTCCTTACAACTAAGATGTCTTATAGCTAACTTAAAAATAATTATCATTAGTGTGTGTTAGTGTATTTGAAAGAGTGATGCATAAATACAGTGTTATAAATCATATTAAAAAATTATTTTCTCCACCACTCAGCCCAAAAATCTTCACCTTTTTGTCTACCTTCGGCAAGTACTTGAACCCCATTCGAATCCAACTTAGCAATAGTAGCCATCAAATCCTTAACCGACTCTTCGCAAAACTTATCCAAACTCCTCTCAGTTTCCTGAGGACCCTGTATATGATTAGGACTGGGCGTTTTAGGTATAGTAGACGTCACAGTTCCTGGAGTATTTTTGGTTTCAGGCTGTTGCCTGAGAGTAATCTTGAAGTTGTCGTTTATGGTGGGAAGACTGGACTGGTTGCGGTTTTGCAACGGCGAATTTGCATTGTCGTTGGGTTGTTGCGGCGTGTGCCACTTGGCGCCGCTGCCGCTAGCGGCGGCGCTGTTGAATTGTTGAGGACGCGTTTGTTGTTGCTGCTGCTGTTGTTGCAACGCCATACGAGTTTGGGCTTGTTGATTGGGCATCAGCATACGGACTTGTTGTTGCTGCTGTTGTTGGGCGCCAAATCTTTAAAGATATATATATATATTTTTTTTGAAATACATATTAGGTTTGTTTCAACCCGTCAAAAAACCATCCCAGAACGGTTTCGGAACCACTCTGTATACGAATTTCGGTTTCTACGCAAAAATTTTAGGTTTTGTGCAGAATCCTGACAGTAATATTACGGTTTCCTGCCAAGTTGGAACAAAGCTATTATAAACCTCGATTGGAGTCAGTTTTTTGTCTTTACTTTACTTTTTCTACTGACGTTTCATAATACGCCTAAAATCTGTTTCATAATGAATTTCATGATACAGATTTTCATTATGATACAGATTTTTCAGTCACTAAAATCGAGTTATTTTGAACATGAACATTTTGGATTATGTATTTCGTTTATTAATGGAAGTAGAAAAAATAGTGTATGCAACTCTCATGTAATGGCCATTAATACACTCGCATGTTATATACGAAACTCGCCTGCGGTTCGTTTCGTATCCTACAACATGCTCATGTATTAATGGCTATCATTACATGATCATTGCATAATAGTAGATTATACCACGAGTCAATAATGATAGCTATTATTCCCGAGGATTATTACGAACTGAGCCGCGTTAGCGGCGAGGGAGTAACATTCCGAGGGAATAATAGCCATTATTGCGAGTAGTATACTCTACTTTATTTACGACAAATTAATTTATTTGAAATTTTCAATGAACAAATTTCATCCGTCTCATAATTTTCAATACAAATCCACAAGCACTACACGTTTGACAATGTGGAATAATGACCATTTTGTTTTGTTTTGTGGAATAATGACCATTAATCCCGCTACTCGTCATTAATCCCTGGAGGAATAACATATGTCATTATACTGCCAAAATCACAAATATAATATGCACATTATACATTAGTCGTAAATAATGGGTGGTATGAATAAAAACGAAGTACTTGCTACTACTACAAGTATTAGTATGTTCTACGTAGTATTTACTTCAAAACGAAGTAGATACTACATTTTGGTCGTTTCGAAATGTAGTATCTACTTCGTTTTGAAGTAAATACTACGTAGAACATACTAATACTTGTAGTAGTAGCAAGTACTTCGTTTTTATTCATACCACCCAATATACTATTATTTCATGGTCTATTAATCTGGCTCATGATTTGACACTTGTCATTTATGTACAAGGAGATTTATTATAAATGTCATCGCCTCCTTACTTTTTTGACGTTTTTGAAAAAAATGCCGAATACAAAAGTTCTAAGAAATTTTTAACTTTTTGTGCAATTCTAGGGTCTCTGTAACTTTTGTGTTTATAGGACTGTAAAAATGGCAAATGACCTGTCTCGCATAAATAGAAAAAGAAAGCTTAAATGTAATAAATACAAGTTAGAAAATAATAAAAGATGATATGCGCGCGCAACTAGCGGGTTGCAGTGTAGCCAGATTGTATTGTTGCATAACAAATGTAGACAATACAAATCAAACATTATAACATTAAAAAAGTGATATGGTGTCAAGTGTTTTACAATGCCTTAAATCAGTCCAAAGAATAGCTTAAAAGTGTATGTTAACATTGTTTGCAGTTTTATTTTGATAAATGTTTTATTTGGCAACATCGCCTGTAACAAACTCGCTTTCCATTGGACGCTCACCTGCAACCCACGAGATACGTCAATTCCGAGATACTTTCTATAAACATCCAATTTAGAGTGGCAGTAATTTAGAGAAATTTGAAGGAAATTGTAGGGTTAATATGGGAAATTTCTTCACAATATTGTTTCAAATACAGGGTGTCCCAGCTGAGAGTGACTTATTTTAAATGCTTATAACTTTTAAACCAGGTCTGCTAGCTACATGCGGTTTGCAGCATTCGATTTCTCTTGACCTAAAGTTTTTTTGTAGTAGGTCAAAAACTTTTTTGTTGTTTGAGAAATGTCAAATTTTAACAGATGGTCAGTTTTTTCTTATGGAACACCCTATATATGACTTCATAGTTAAAAAGAGTCGATTTTTCTTATTTCAAATATATATGGTTTAACTACTCTTAATTGAGCTGTTTTGGAAATATCGGGCTCTAAACTTCAAGAAAATAACACCTTGAAACACAGCTCTGTTCCAACCAACATGAGAACCGTCCTAGAACGGTAATTTCCAGTCAATCAATTAATTTGTCAATTAGGATAAACATTCAACTTATTGAAAAATAGGTGGGCAACTAGAAATTACCGTTCTAGAACGTTTCGCATGTCGGTTGGAACAGAGCGAATGTGTTTCAATGTATTATTTTCTTGAAGGGTGGGGGGCGACTCTTTCCAACTATGAAGTCATATATAGGGTGTTCTATAAGAAAAAACTAATCATCTGTAAAAATTTGACATTTCTGAAAAAAACGAAAAAGTTTTCGACATCGGACTCAAAAATTTCAGGTAAAACCTCGAAACTTATGTATTTACGATTTTTTGATATTTCTTCACATAACCCCTGTAGTGGGGGGGGGTCAATATATGGGGCAAGACCCTGTACTCTGTACCAATAAACATCATCCTTGTAACTTGAAGTTTTAGCCATAAAAAATTGAAATCGAAATCATGGTATTTTTGCAAATGCATGCAACTTCATGTCATGTTATAGGTACTTGCTATCTGGCATACAATTTTGTAACTGTCGAGTTAGATATCACGTTACAACTTGAAATACATTCTCCAAGATAATTTAACGAACTCCAGTAAGAATAGCGAGATACCCCAAAAGTAGCAGTTTGGTGTGCAATCTCTGTTGAGAAAAAATACGGACCATTTTTCATTAATGAACCAATGATAACAGGAACTGTTGTATACACTGATGTGTTGGGAAATTTCTTTTATCCACAATCAAGGGTATCTTGGACTATATCTATTTTCAGCAGGATGGTGCCCCACATCATTATTATTTAATAGCAAGGGAATCATTAAATATGGCATTTGGAAAAAGATGGATTGGGAGAGCTGGTCCTATAGAATATGGACACCTTACTCTCCTGACTTGAGAGTTCCAGACTTTTTTCTCTGGAATTATGTCAAGTAGAGATCCTGCAATCCTTTGCCAAATAGCCTGGAAGATCCTAAGTGGAACATTCGTAATGTTATTGAAGCGATTCCCCAGGAAATGTTACACAATTTATTCAACCATTTACTGATTCATAAATGCGTGGAACATAATGGCTAACATATACAGCATTTTTGATAATTTTGTGCAGTTTTTTTTTTTGGGGAAAAAATTAGAATGGACTTAAAACAGGGACTTACAAAAGTTGATACTAGCAATGCTGACAACGAAGAAGAAGATGACAATATTTTAAATGCAGATATAGTACACTGCCAAGCATAAAATTAGGGTCATCCAGTAATTTGCAAACAAAACTTGGGGCAAAACAACAAGAACTTTTTAAAATTCAAGCAACTACGACAAAATCATCGCATAAAGTTAGTGAACTTTACACCAAAAAAAAAAAAACAATTCGCAAAAACCAAAAATTTTGAAAATAATTGCAAATTATGGGGTGATCCTAATTTTATGCTCGGCAGTGTTTTATTGGAAACAACAATTTGACGGATATCCTTTATGATGAGAATGATGAAAATAAAGGAACCGAAGCATAATTACCTGAGACAAATTTAAAGGATTATTCTTATAAAGTGAAGGACATTTCGGAAAATAGCTAATTTTTGAAAATCGAGTACGAAAACAAGGAAATGGTTGTTAGGAAGTCTACGTATTGCTAGCTACTTTCAGAAGGGAATAGAAAAGTAAGCACGCATAGATTAAGGAGATTCCACATACCTACCTACAAGATACAAGCCAAAAAAAACACCAAAATGTTATCAACCCAAGATAGAACTCGAGGCAGTAGTAAATTTATTTTTTAATGGTCTTGTCCAACTTCTAGGAAACGGCTCATTTAAAATAAGAAGAAACAATACCCTCAATATTGTAAGCTCTACCTTCAAAGTTAAATAACATAACCTTGCATTTGATCTCGATCCTACTATTCCTACTTGACCGCTTTTTGTGTTTTGTGTTTCACTGAACGAAATAAAAATAAATAAATAAATTTCATTGTGAATTTCTTATCAAACATTACGAACAATTATGGGAATTTTCAGGGGATTTGTATGGGGCATTTGCGGGGAATTTGAGAGGCGTTTGTGGGAAATTTGCGAGGCATTTGGAGGAATTTATGGGAATTCGGAGGAATCTGCAAGGAATTTGGCGGAATTTGCTGGGGTTTTGAGAAATTTGTGGGGAATTCGGAGGAATTGGGGGAAATATGAGGAATTTTTCAAAAAAAAATCCCCTATGAGGAATTGTTTGTACAAATTTGGGGGGGGGTTACCCCTTGAGATACTGATACATGTATCGATACCGATCTCAACGTGAATGGGGCCCTTTACAGAGAGAAAATTGGAATAAAATTCTAAAACCCATAATTGAAGCTCTTGGAGCGTCGGAATGATCTGGAAGTTATCAAAAATTTCCCGAATATTCTAAAAAGCTCTTTGATACTTCTAATTGAAATTCTAACGTCTGAACGTGTTTCAGAGTGTTCTAATGAAATTCCAATTTGATTCTAAAGTGTTCTGTAGCGTTTTACAATGTACTTGAAAGTTCCAATTTGTCTCAAACAAATGCTGAACGATTGAAAATTGATTTGAAAATCTTTTGAAGCCTATCAAAGTTCTGAATTTATTCTGAAGTACTCTAGAGCATCTCAAAATGCTTTGAAATGTTCCAAATTAGCACAAGCCCATTTTGAAGGTGTTTGAAATGCTTTCTAAGGTTTTCCATTAGTTGCTCAATGCTCTTGAAGCACCGCAATGTTTTAAAAATTATCCGAATTCTCCCAAATAGTCTTAAAGGGTTTTTTGTAGTTCTAATTGAAAAACTTATGTAGAGTTCAGATATGTTTTAGAGTCTTCTAAATATGCTCATGGAAGTTTTAACTTAGTTCTTAAGTGTCATGCGACGATTTTTAAGATATTCTAAAAGTTTCCAGTTCTAGATTGTTTCCACATAATTTGTAAAGTGTTCTAGAGTGCTCGAAAAGTTTTCTCAAATGTTGCCGAAAGTGTTCTGGTTTGTTCTAGAATGTCTCTCAAATTTTGAAATGGTTCTGTAACGTTTTATAATAATCTTAAAGATTCCAAATTGTCTCAAACAAATGCAGGAGAATTGAAAATCTTCTGAAGCTTATCAAAATGCTTTCCAAAGTTTTAAATTGGTTCCTTAATGATTTTGAAACGCTGGGATGTTCTAGGAGTTATTAGAAATCTTCCAAATGTTCGTAAGCACTCTTTGTCACCTCTTTTCAAAAATAATAGGTTTTAATATATACAAATAGGAAATAGGTATATCAAAAACACAAATTATCCACCAAAAACATCAAAAATCCAATCCACTATAATACAATTAGCCAAATCTTTGCCAACCCTGATAGATTTGCTGACAATTTCTCGTCTTTGACACTGTCACAAACGTCAAATGAAAAACTTAGGAGGGGATGACATTTATAATAGATCACCCTGTACTGATGATTGTCAGCCACCCAAATACCAGAGAAAATCAAAGCTAAATCAAAAACCACATACGCAAAATAATTCTTACCTGATTGGTTGTTGTGAGCCAGGAAATCTGTTCTGAAACTGATGAGGCTGTATGGCCTGATACTGCGAAGGTCCAGTCTGAATATAAATCGGACCGTTGCTATTCGGTTGCAACAAATGTCTCAAGTTGCTGCGATCCTGCAGCATTCCGTGCGGATGAGTGGAAGACGAAACCTGCTGTTGTTGCTGGTTGAGTCCCATGGAGTTAGAGGCCATTCTCGGAATGATGGCTCGTTGCAGCACCGGCCTTTGCATGCGATTCATGCTCAGTTGCTGCGCCAGGGATATGGGAAGGGCTTGCGGCATCTGGTTCATACCTGGGGGGCCCATGCTTTGCAGTCGATTTTGATTGAATTGCTGGTTCAAATTGTTCTGGCTCATGTTTTGGATCATTTGCGAGTATTGCTGATTGTTTGATTGATATTGGGAATAAGGAGGTGGATTTCCCATACGTATACCGACCTAGAAATTAAATTTCATCTGGGGTTAATTTGTATTCAAGCACTAAAAGACACTTTCTAGTCTACTAATAAACAACATATTGATATACAACATCAAAATGATTTTAAAACATATAATTACCTCAGCAGCATAATACAGTTTGCTAACCAACTGCTTCAAAAGATAGAACATAAACTTCGTTAGTAATACAAATAGCTTAAAAACACTTATTCTCCAAAACCAAATTTACCTGTTGTTGTTGTTGTTGTTGCTGCTGCTGTTGTTGTTGTTGCTGCTGCTGCTGTTGTTGTTGCTGATTTTGAGGAAATCCCGAAGGAGAAGGTTGCTGCACTAAAGGACTAATAGGAGATTGCTGCTGGGGTGGTCTCATTTGTCCAGGACTAGGAGACTGATTTGGAGGATATGGTCCAGTGATTCCTGGTGAAGTTGTCTGTGAAGGGTACACTCTTCCGTCCACGACAATTTGTCCAATAGTTGACATCACTAGCAAATATTAATATTAAAAATTTGTCTATAAATTTCAACTAGTTAACTTCATGCAATAAAATTACTTTACCTGAAGACAGACCTGTTGTTTGAAAGAATGCAAGGAAAAAAAAATTAATTAAATACTACTTATAGTCAATCAAAAATTTACCTTTAATCAGATCAGGAACTTTATCCAAAGCCAAATGAATTCTCACGGGTATCTCCGGATTGGGTATATCAGCACGTTTGCACTTGATCCTCCTTAAATGTTCTGTGACTTGTTTTTTGCTGTAAAGCAACGCCATGTCACTGCCGTGGTCCAGAGCGTACTGAGTGAACTCGATGCAGTGATCAGTCATTTTAGATAATTGTTCCAGGGCTAGTTTTTTTTCTTGGAGGGTTTTCTGTTTGGAATCGCAAACTTCGGTTAGTTTGCCCACTAATTGTTTGCCACGAGTACTGATTGTTTGGGTGAGTCTGTTAGAAATTCAAATATTAGATTGAAGTTATTTATTTAATTGATTAAATTACTCACTTTACCACTAGTTGAGTTATTTCTTTGACTAGGGCTTGTTTTTTCTCGCTTATCAAATTTTGTCTGTCGTCTATTACTTTCATTGCGCTTGTTAGTAAGGCCCTTTTATAACTAAAAAAAACAAATATGTATTAAGTCACTGGAAATCTATCTTTGAATTACAAGGACAAAATTGAATCAGTTGTGCTGGCGATAAATAGAGGGACACTAATGAGAAGATTTGAGTCTTGTTAGTTAGAACTTTGATGGCTATTTCACAAAGGAATAACTGAAATAAATATATGTATATAACCCAGTTACTTACCCAACATCCTTAAGCATATCAGAAATATACTTTTTTGCCTCAGAAGCAATCTCATTAGTAAATTTGTACTTGTGCTCTCTATGCTCAATTAATTGACAATCCCTACAAGTTAACTTATCACAAGTTTCACAAAACAGTGACAATTTCTCGAGCGGATGATTAGAGCAAAACAAATTGGCGCCATTATTCAAAGCGTTCAATTCGTTCAGGCCTTCTTCCTTCGATTTGATTGTGTGGTCCTTTGTTATTTTCAACCTCTGGTGAGCCTGCACGCAGTTGTCACAAATAAATTCCGAACAATCAGCGCAGAAACTGGACGCTGGCGCTTCGTCACTGCAGCTGCTGCATTTAAGATCTGTTTGCTTGTTGGCAGTGTTTTCTTCATTGCTTGCCAACTCGAGCAGAAATTGATTTTCGATTATTTTTAATGGGTCGCATTGGATGTTGCAAGTTGGACATGTGATTTGATTGGCTGTAAAGCAAAGATTTTTGATGAAGCAATAATTGATTGGCTTTGCGTTTATTGCATTGCAACTGAATCAAATTGAAGTAGGTACACACCCATGTGAAGTGAACCTTATTATGGTGTTTGAGGGATACCAAATAATCATTTTAAGATGTCGGCTTGAAATCTGACAATAAATCACTGACCATTCTGGAAGGAAGACGCCCCCCCCCCCTTTGGACATTTTGGATAATCATAAATTTTTTTCTATCATAGATAAAATCTGAAATTCTCAGCGATTCTTATCCTAATAGAGAACTAACTACACACCCTGCAACGTAACACATTCTTTCAGCTCATTTGGACTTACAGTTCCTGAGAAAAAAATCATAACTTTCTTTGCATTATTATTTTTTACAATTATTTATTTGGCTTTATTAATAAAGTTGCAATCTAGTAAAATGAACAAAAACCCAGAGGAACAAAACATCAATGCCATACTTACAGACAAACTTACCAATTTTGACAGTTTTGGAGCTGAAAGCACTGTATATTTCTATATCAGAGGCGACTCGACAACAAACTATTGAACCCTGAAGAATGTAGGTAGCTTCAATAAACTCTATGAGAACATTATAAGGAGTGTAATAGAAACCACCCAAGAAGCAATAGGAACGAAGAAAAAAAAATACCAACAAGGAATATTGGTGGACTGAGGAGATAGAGCTATTAGTCCAAGATAAGAAGCATAAATGAAATGGCTTACAACAAAGAATGACAAAGACCTTGAAGTTTATAAAGACACAAAAAGACAACTAAGAACGTGCATCAATATAGCTAAGAATGAGTCATGGGATAAGAAATGTGAAGAAATTACTTACCACCTACATAGGAGGAAGGAAATGCTCAGAGGTATGGAGATTTATATCAGATGTCAAAAACCCAGGAAAGGACAGAGCTAATATCCAGGTAATCAAACCAGAGCGATGGATAGAACACTACAAGGGTCTTTTAGAAGAAAGTAGCTCTTTAAAGGCCTCACATGTATTATCAATAAATGCCTAAATGGACATCCTGTCCCACAAGACTGGAAAGTGGCTTTTATTTCATCCATTCACAAAAAAAGAAATAATCTGTAATGCAATAACTATCGGGGCATATCAGTCACAAGCACACCAAGCCCCGGTTTATTCATCTCCAGAAAAACTCTCTGGTTACTATCTGCGAGATAAAGTTATCGTTCTATAGTTCTGTTGGTCACCAGATAACTGGCCGACCAATAGAATTACAGGCTGCGTTTTTATCAGTCAGATTGCATACCAGACAGTTTATCAGAAGGTGAATAAATTGGCCCTAAGCAGACTATACAGTAGAATCCTGCGTGATCTCACTAAAGAAGATTATAAAGAGAAAGAAGAGGAAGAGCAGTGCGAATTTAGAGCTGGAAAATCAGGTACAGACAATGTATTTTGGAAACCTACCTCACATTTGTGGACCTACAAAAAGCATACGATACAGTCCCAGTATCCAGACTATATTAGAACAATCTCGAGAACAATACAACATCAATCACGCCTATAAAACAGCACTTGAAGAACTACATAAAGACTCAAAATCAAGAATTAAAATAGGTGAAAAACTCACAGACACATTTATAGTGAATAAAGGACTACTTCAAGGATGTTGTATCTCTCCTCCGCTTTTCAAAATATACGTAGCAGTAGCACTAAAAAATTGAAAGATCAATGGCATGGGTATAGAGATAAATGATAGGTGCCTGTTTACTCTCCAATTTGCAGATGATCAGGTCATAGTGGCCAGTGACAAAGAGGACAGGGAATATATGATTAGAAAGTTGATACAAGAGTACCAAGAATGGGGCCTGAGAGTTAATATAAATAAAACAAAATATCTATGTGTAGGCACCCAGAACGGAAACTTGGAAGTGGACAATGGTCAGGGAATTCTGCAATGTCGGGAATATGGGTATCTTGTTATCACATTCGACAACATTGAAACAGATGTGAAAAGCGGGTAGTTAAAGCAAAAAAAGTATTAAGATGCCTAAATGGAATCTTATGGAGCAAGGAAATAACAAAGAAGAGAAAATTGAATATACAGGGTGGTCCATTCAACTTGAGACAGTCTAATATCTCAAAAACGGTGCGTTTTTGAAAAAAAAAAGTTTAAACAAAAGTTATATGGTATCATGGAGGAAACAAAATGGTGGCACTGATTTTTGACATTGACGACGTTTTCAAGGTTATTTCAAGGTCAATTTTTTATTCCTCCAAATAGTTGTAATGATGATTATGTTCAATTTTTTTTTAGTTTTTGATGATACAGTAAGGACAAATCTTGATATTTTATTCTTAGAAAACTTTAACTCTCTTTTTGGTAGTAATAAAGGCTGTATAAATAGTTATTTGTTAAGTGATTTCAATAATGTCCACAATCTTACTCAATGTAACACAATTTTTAAACACATGAAAAGGAAATTGGATCTAGTACTGTCGAACATGAATGTTGGTAATTTAATGAAATGCAACAATCTACATGTAAATGAAGATGCTTATCATACTTCTCTCGAGTTTTCAGTAACAATCCATTTTTGAGTCACCATTGACTGCATAAAAAAGTCATTTATTAATGAATACTTCAAAGGTGATTTTCTCTTGTTATATTGACTGATTCAAGATGCTGACTGGGTTTTGAGGTGGATGCATGCATACAGCTCTTCTATGAGAAGTTGTATGCCTGTATTGATCAATCAGTTATCAGAAAACAGTCAAGAGAACCATCAAAATCATCAAGCCGTTATCCTGTATATAGAGATGGCCCTGAGAATGTTCTCCAAAGAATTTCTATTGAGAACAGGGAATTTACCGAGAATAGTCTTTGATCTTAAATTCTTGAGAATTTATGATTTTTTCAGGTTCAAGAATTTATGAGAATATACGGTAATTTTTGGAGAATTTATGGGAAGTTAGCTGTAATTTTTAAATTTATCAGTTCATTGTGAAAAACGGAAAACAGAGCCGGAGTCTCATTCATCCGTCATCTGTTTTCCGAAGTCCATAGACTGAAGTCCAATATCCGAAAAACCTTCTATTCTGACATATTTTTGTGCCACTGAGTACTGAGTGTATTTCCAGTTCTTTCTCTCAGCCTCTTAAAAAAACAGAGAGAAACACAAACACATTTTTTTTGCATGTTTTCTATCGAGATACTCTAAGATTTCTACCAACCGGATACGCCATAAGTTATTACATTGTCCCTGTACTATGCAGAGTGTGTGTAAAGAAATATTTAATTTAATATTAGTTTTGAGAAAATTCCTTCGAAAATTAAACCTAGAGGGTTGATATGAAAATATTTCAGACAAAATAAGGACATCAAATTTCAATGTAAATTTTGTGATTTTGTGTATCAGAAAAATGCGAAAAGCCCCAAATGATGTTAAGAAGCTATATTCTGCGAAAATCGAAATTCTCTAAAATTCTCCAAATTTCTCGAATGTTCCCGAATATTCTCCGAGAAAATTCTCTCGAATTAAATTCTCGAGAATTTGCCATCTCTACCTGTATAAAATGATGCTCAACACTTCTAAATGTCAGGTTTTAACAATCACACAAAAAACACAATTTTTAGAGAACGAATACATAATTGACAACTCTGTGATATGTAGAAAAAGTAATTGTAGAAATCTGGAGGTACACTTTCAACAAAATTTTAAATTCAATGAGCATTATCAGATTATTGTTGAAAAGGCAAACAGAACACTTGGCTTGGCCAGAACTCGGAAGTAATTCAAAAGAACTGAAACAGTTATACTATTGTACAGGGTATTTGATTATATTTGGCACCATACCTACAGCCTTTACTATTTAAGATAGAAGAAAATTGTAAATACAAAACTTGACAGTTTTTTTCTATATTTTCTCTTAACGTTATCAGAAAAAACAAAATCGCATCGGAAAATGGAGAAACGTAGACAACTTCGACTTTTTTAAATGGAACACCCTGTATATTTTGCGATAAAATGAAAGACCTTTTCTTCCTGATTACAAATATATACAGGGTGTATATTTTAAGTGATACCACTATTGCTATATCTGAAACGGTAAAAGCTACAGGGTCGGTTAAATTAGAAAATAATTGCCTTTTTTGATGACCATTCAAGACTCGTTTACAGTGCTGCCAAATTCCTTTTAGTTTAGGAAATACAGGGTGAATTCTGAAAAACGCCTAAAAATATTTCATCAATTATTTCGAAAACTATTAATTTTCGGGACACAATTTAAATTTGAAAGTGTCATAATTTTTTTCGCTCTCCAATATGGCATCTTCAAATTTTGAATCCGACGTTTTGTGATTGAGCTACCATCATCAACTTAATTTTTTTTAATACGGACCTGGATTTTTTATGTCATTTCTAGAAAGCACCTTTTGTTCCTTTTTTAACGATATACCTCTTAAGTATGATTGGTCGACGTTTCTGATCTAAAAAGTGATCATCAGTGATTTTTACCAAAATTTTACCTCAATTCGGCCCTAGTTATAAACCTTTATTTCAGAATCTAAAAGGAATTTGGCAACACTGCAAACGAATCTTAAATGGGCATCAAAAAAGGCAAATTTTTTATAATTTAACTGACCTTGTAGCTCTTACCGTTTCGGATATAGCAATAGTGGTATCACTTAAAATATACACCCTGTATATGTTGACCAAATTTGCGTCAGCCATTTTTGACATATCTTAGCTTAAATTATAACTAGATTACAAAGACATTTTATAAAGATAGAGATCCTTATGGAACTTCTCTGCAAATTCTTTATAATTTAACCTGAGATATGTCAAAAATTGCTCACGCAAATGTTATCAATATACACTGCCGAGCATAAAATTAGGGCCACCCCATAATTTGCAATTATTTTTGAAATTTTTAGTTTTTGCGAATTTTTTTTTGGGTGTACAGTTTAGGTACTAACTTTATGTGATAACTTTATCGTAGTTGCTTGAATTAAAAAACGTTCTTGTTGTTTTGTCCCAAGTTTATTAAAGATAATACAAATAGGCATGCTGTGGATCAGATTTTGGATGACCGCCTGGGGAAGATTTTCCCATTCCTGCATCAGTATGTTGCAAAGCTCTCTAGAGTTTCTAGGGGCCGGTACATGTCGCCGTAAACGTCTTCCCATCTCATCCCAAACATGCTCGATGGGATTCAAATCTGGGCTTCGAGCAGGCCAAACAAATCTCACGATTTGAACTTCGTCAAGATAAGCATTAACAAACTGAGCAGTGTGGGGCCGTGCATTATCATGCATAAAGGTTGCGCCCATGAACGGTACAACATGGTCTTCTAGAACCTGTGTGAGGTACCTATGTGCATTTAAAGTCCCATTCTGGATAAAGGCTAACTCCGTGCGAGCATGGAACGAAATCCCTCCCCATGCCATAACTGAGCCTCCGCCAAATGGAAGTCGCTCTGCAATACATGCTCCGGCATATCTCTCGCCTTGTCGACGCCACACTCTAACACGTCTGTCTGAGCCCGTAAGGCAAAAACGGGATTCATCGGAGAACAATACCAGACTCCAATCCACTATTGTCCAAGCCAAGTGTTCTCGTGCAAAATTTAATCTTGCGATTCTGTGTTCACGGGAAAGCGGTGGTCCAGTAGCCCTGGTTCGAGAAGATAATCCAGCAGCATGAAGTCGCCTCCTAACTGTCCACTCACTTATGTTTACATTTCTGACTTCTTGCAGATGATTTCGAAGGGAAACTGCCGTATCTGTTTGATTTCTCAATGCACTAGAAACGATAAAGCGGTCGTCTCTAGCTGTTGTACTCCTTCCTCTTCCCGAACCAGGTCTTCGGGTAAGAAGACCAGTCTCTTGGTACCGTTGGCATATTTGTTGCACACTGGAAAGGCTTACATCAAAGTTTCTTGCAGTTTCGCGCTGACCGCGACCATCTTCTATAGCCGCCACAATTCGTGCCGTAATTACTGGATTTATGGCCATTTTACTTGAAAATAGCATCAATAGTAACCAACCAATTTGCAATTGAGAGATACCATGCATGGAATACACAAATATGCTGATAATGGTTTTGAGGAATTTCGGCGAGGCACCTTTTTTTTATCAAACTTTAAACAAAACAACAACAACTTTTTTTAATTCAAACAACCACGATAAAATCATCACATAGAGTAGTAAACTATGCTACACCCACAAAAAAATCTCAAAAACCTAAAATTTCAAAAATAATTGTGAATTATGGGGTGACCCTAATTTTATGCTCGGCAGTGTATATACAGGGTGTCCCACGGTGGATGGCGTATTAGACGTTCATAGAGAACTAAAAAGCGGATCATTTTGAAAATTTGGCAACCGGGGTAAACGACCATAATCTACACTTTAAAAATATTTTTGTTTATGCGGTGTTGCCGCTTCTACTTTAAACCAGTGGCAACATCGCTCTTTTAAATGAAACACCCTGTATGTGATTGCATATTTGGATTCTACGTAAAATTCTGAGCAGATTTTATGTGATATACCCTATACCTAAGTTCAACTGTTTTGGAAATATTGACAGTTGAAAATTGACTTTTTGCAACTTTGACAGGCTGTAAAACCTAAACGGTTAATTTCAGAGGAAAACCGATCTTACATTCCTATCTTAGATTTTCGTAAACTATCATTTGACACCAACTTTGAATTTAACCGGAGATTAAATTTAATTGGAATTTTTAATCATGGATTAAATTCAAAATTGGTGTCAAATGATAGTTTATAAAAATCTAAGATAGGAATGTAAAATCGATTTTTATCTAAAATTAACCGTTCAGGTTTTACAGCCTGCCAAAGTTGCAAAAAGTCAATTTTCAACTGTCAATATTTCCAAAACAGTTGAACTTAGGTATAGGGTATATCACATGAGATCTTCTCAGAATTTTATGTAGAATCCAAATATGCAATTAAATACGGGGTGTTTCATTTAAAATAGCGATGTTGCCACTGGTTTAGAGTAGAAGCGGCAACACCGCATAAACAAAAATATTTTTAAAGTGTAGATCACAGTCATTTATCCCGGTTGCCAAATTTTCAAAATGATCCGCTTTTTAGTTCTCCATAAACGTCTAATACGCCATCCACCGTGGGGCACCCTGTATATTTAGAATCAGAAAGAATAGATCTTTTGTTTTTTATTTTAAATTCTTTGTGTGTGTAACAACTGTAAACGTTTTTAGGTACGTATTTTAATCAACAACTAAGTGTAATCAGTGTGTATAATTTTAATTGTAATGTATTTTTATTTTTTTAACCTTACCATGCCAAACGATGTTCCTATTTTGTTTTGTTGTTTTCGGTTTCATCTGTATAACTCTATATATCCCTACCTCGTTTAATGTTATGCTATTTTTATTTTGAAAGTTTAGGTTTAGGAATTACTGGCTTTGTCAATGGATTTATTTTTTTACGACAATAAAGCATATTTTGATTTTATTTGATTTGATTTTCATTTTATCGCATAATATACAGGGTGTTCCATTAAAAAAAGTCGAAGTTGCTTACGTTTCTCAATTTTCCTATGCGATTTTTTTTTCTGAGAACGTTATCAGAAAATATAGAAAAAAACTGTAAAGTTTTGTATTTAAATTTTTTTTCTATCTTAAATAGTAAAGGCTGTAGGTATGGTGCCAAATATAATCAAATACCCTGTACAATGCACTAGTAAGACCCCACTGGGAATATGCATTTGTCATATGGGCGCTGAAAGCCGAATTCAGCAGAAAAAGTTCCAAAAAAATTCCTCTATATAAAGAAGTTCAATATTTACCCATATATGATTTCCTATAATAGCATGTTGACTTGTTTTAGTCTACCTCAGCTGACCAATTAAGTACAAAGATTGTTCCTTGATAAATAGTATTAATTTTTTTGTCCCAAAGGTGCACTTAAGGATTAGCAACCTCGGACTGTTTTTGACCAATAAGTTTGGTTGCTCGCCAATGAACCAAATGTTAGCAGAATGTAATATTGTGATAGAAAAATGTGATATAGACTTTTTTACTTCCTTGGTAAGTGAGATCAAACTTGCCTTTGAAGCCAACTTTAAGTCTTTTTAAATTGTTTTACCATATTGTATGTTGATGTTATTGCTCTTTCTATTTTCTTTCGTTTTTTCATGTTAGCATAGATATGTATGCAGGTTAGTAGTATTGGCTGTGCGTACTCTTTTAATGTTACTACAAAAAGTCTTGTGTTTTAAATGAGTATAAATAGATAAATGAAAAAAAATAAGTAGATAAACATCTCTACTGCAACCAACAGTCAGAAGAAAAAGAGGAAAACCAAAACTGAAATGGCAGGAAACCATACCATAACCTTGACCATACCAAAAATCCATGAGTGCAAGAGATCTCTCATCAGAGGATTGCGACGATCAAAAAAGATGGAAATTAGGTGTCGGACAATGAAGAAAGACGTTCTGAAACGACATATATTTACTTTGGCTATTATAGTTTATAGTAAATTGCCAAACTACTGGTGAAATAACACTGGGAAAATTTATTTTGTACCTATCAAATATTCATCCATTTAAAAGAAGATGTGATTTTGCATTTTAAAATAATCATCACCAACAGTGAACTGGCTGACTAAAATTTGAGCTTACTAGGTGAATATGAAGTACACTGGGGTCTGACCTTAACACATTTTTTTAAAGGCCACCTTAACAATATCGAAATAGTGAAGGCTAAATCTGTTTTAGTGATTACAAGAAAATAAAATAATAAATGAATTTTTGCTTTCAAAGCATTGGGTCAATGTAGGTAATCGGAAACACTTTTGTCATTTGCGGGATTTGAGACACTTTTAGCACTTATAAAAATAATTATTAAGTAATATTATTGTAAAATGCATTTTATAAAAGTACATTGGAATGTTATCCTACATTTATGTTACTTGTAGTTTTGAATTATTTCTCTACTTTTGAAATTGCTACATAATTTCTAACCCCTGTTTCCATCAACGACCCACATTGACTATAAAATTTCTATTATGAAAATTCTTACCAGTAGTTTCAGAAGATTCATTATTTTCAAATAATTTGCTATTAATACAATTTGTGCAAGCATTGTGTAAACACTCCAACAACCTGGGATTGTCTGCCGGACCCAGAGTATGGTCACAATAAATACATTTAAAAGCAAACCCTTCTCCTGTGGCAGTGGCTGTAGGGCTTTCGACTTGCTGCTCCTCGTTGGAATTTGAATTTTCCACTTCGTCCACCGTTTCTTTTTGAGGCTGTAGCTCTGCCAGAGATTCGGTGAGGCTTAGGGGATCCAAAGTGTCCATGTTAGAGTCATTATTGACTGGATCGTTATTTAAAAAGTTGTCCAGCATTTGTAAATTGTCGGAATCGTTGGAAAATAGGCTTTCTCCGAGATTATTGGCTTCGGCCGCGGGATTTAAATCGGTCATCAAATTGGGGTCGTTTAGGAACAGTTTTGATTCGGCCATGGCTTTCACAACACACGACTCCTATCGCGGAGTCGCTTTTATTAACTTAAACCACTTTGGATATTGTTGAATATCGCCTAGAATTTAATCAGCCGTCGTTTTGATTCGGCTCAATAGCAAATATATCTACTTTTTCTCCTTATATTTCCATTTTGTTGAGGCACAAACACAACATTAAGAAAAAAATTTCTATTCTTGCTTTTTGAGTGACAGCTAACCAGCAGACGCCTTTTATGAGTTTTCTGACACTGATGACAATCGACATTGACAAAACATGGTTGCCAAATTACAACAATTATCCACTTTAAATTATTAAAACCATTTATTAAGTGTTTATTTAATTTTTACAACAAATATAACAATAATTAATGCTTCAATTTTCTGATATTTCAAATGTAAAAAATACCTTTAGCAATTATCGGTAAGCTATTTGCATTGGCTATTTGCCACCATTGAACGCTGTTGCCAGGTTGCTTGCCACAAACTGAAGTAGTGAAATGTCAATTTTGTTATTGTAAAATGTTTTGTTTATGTTGTGCTAGAAATTGTTGAATTGCAAATAAAATCGTAATTAATAAATTGCTTTGATTAGTTAATTGATGATTAAATTTCTATAATCGGAATCAGGGAGGTAGGTAAGCCTTTAAATTCCTACTAGGATAACAATTTTTTTTCACTACTCCTGCGAAATAGTCATTATTCAATCTATTTTTCTAGAAAAAAATTGAATTTCTGCTCCTTGGTTAATGATGAAATGATAATCATGAAACCCAGGTTTCCAGAACGAGTTTAATTTCAATTTCAACCTTTCAATTGCGCAAAGAGGATTGCCTATTATTGTCAAGCGCCAATACCCTTGTGATGTCACTACAGATGCTCGTTTTCCTTTTTGCTGTATTCCTTTTACCCGTTGAGCACTCAAGTCGCTCATAAGTGCACCTCCCTTTTCCCTGATGCACCATATTTGCGGGAGGTGCAAGAAGCCCATTTAGGTTATGTTAATATTAAAGAATAATGATAATCTGAATAGGCTCCATGCATCAATTTTTTTATTGCGGATTTCGATAGTCCATGAAAAATAAGTCAACACGTGTTTTTTCTTGTGAGTCAAAAATTGACAGAGATACAACGCTTTGAAATGTCCTTCCGACGTCATAACTTATTATAATACGTTGTGAGTTGTGACGTCGCACATGCTCAGTATATCTATATATATAAAACTCAATATTTGTTATAGCTTCCGAAATAATCATATTTGGACAAAATAGAAAAACACGCATCGATTTTTTTTCGATTTCCTACAGTTTGCAATAAACAATAATCAATTTAATTTTTCATGCAAGTACCCTATTGTGTGTTTTGGAATTTGGAGTGACTCTGAGAAGCTTTCGAGCGACACTTCGGTGTAACTTGATGTATAAAAATAATAGGGCAGCAATGGATGCATAGATGACCAGTCTATCCTCCAGTCTAGCCCTGAGTCTATGTTTGTCTATTTCATAGAAAATCGGTATGGCTGTCTCATAATGCTGGCAGCAGATGGATCCATTGCTAAATAAAAGAATTCGCCTATACATTTGTGTGGTACTTCGTCTGTCTTAAAACATGAGTCAAGTTGTATGAGGGCAAGGATAATACACACTACTAAGGATTGCTTAACGGCCTCGTTTTTGGTAATCGCCGCCATATGGGTGTGTCACCATTTTCGACGTCACAACTAAGTCGTCAGCTGTTTGCACTAGCGGTCCTAGTTTGGAATTTAAATTTATGATGAAAAATATTATTTAATTTTGATCAACATAATAGGCGAAGAGGAAGATGAAAATGATATCTGGAAAAGAATTGTTTTAGAATGTTAATTAAAACCAAGAACCAAGTAAGTATTTTTAAAGCAAAAGCCCGCAGAATCATAACCTGTAGTGTAAACAGCCTACGTCAAGGCGAGAAAGGACATGCTGTTCACGTCACAACTGGTGATTTTGCGTGGTAGGCGGCGTCAGATTTGTTCCACACAGGTCTTATGAGGATAGGCTATCCTATAGTAGTAGTGTGTGTGTATTATCTTTGGTATGAGGGTGGCCGGGGACAAGGTTCCTAAAGTTAAGCTGCCTGCTAATAGGTAACTTGATGACGCATCTGGGGTGCCTTAGGGCCGAATTTATAGTCGGTCCTTGAGGTTTCCTCAGACCTTAAGGAAGCCTTGAACGTTTAGAATTGACATGACTAACTTGTCAAATAGTAGCAGGTGTCCATTCTGAACTCGCGACTCCAAGGAAAATTCAAGGAACGACTATAAATCCGGCCCATGGAGATTTGCATTATGGTTGTATTCCTTTCAAGAGTTTGGAACACTCGAGCTACTCGCCCGGTGTTAGTCGACCCCGATTTGAAAGGAAGAGATGCGTGGTGCAACAAACACTTTTCGAAAGGATTAAGCGCGTAACGCGGAGCTCCTCCTAGGTGTGAAAGGAATATAACTTATGTCGAAACACCCCAGATGACGTCATGAAAGTATTAGGTGATCTAAGAGATACTCTGGATATTTTTTTTTTCTCACGCTCCAATATCCTCAGAGTGAACGCGCATGATTTATAATAAGGTCTAGCGAATAGCGGTGAAATTGGAAAATCCTTCAAAATTTACAGAAATCTGTAAGCGGTATGCTACATTGTAGACTTTACGCCTTTTCGGAAACGCTGCTCCGATTAACCAAATCACCAGCTATTTGTCTTTTATCTTTCTTCAATGAGCACGATTGAAAAAAGACAAAGAACATCAGCTGGTAATCCGGTTAATCGGATTTGCTTTTTCGAAAAGGACTTTTGTGAATGTTGTCTATGGGATTCCCCGTTAGTTATTGCGTAATTCCCAATATTCCAAAGTATCCGATATATTTAATTCAAGTATCCATCCGATACCGATACTTCTAAGTACCTACCCAAGTTGCACATCACACAGGGTGATTTCTAAGAAACGCCCAAAACTATTTCATCAATTATTTCGAAAACTATTGATTTTCGAGACACAATTTAAATTTGAAAGTTTTTTAATTTTTTTTGCTCTACAACATGGGATTTTCAAATTTCAAATCTGATGTTTCGTGATCGAGCTGCCATCATCAACTTCTTTTTTTCAAATACGGACCTGAATTTTTTATGTAATTTTTAGAAATCACCCTTTATTCCCTTTCTAAAAATGACATAAAGAATCCAGGTCCATATTTAAAAAAATGAAGTTGAAGATGGTAGCTCAACCAGTAAACGTCGGATTTGAAATTTGAAGATGCCATGTTGTAGAGCAAAAAAAATTATAGAACTTTCAAATTTAAAGTGTGTCTCGAAAATCAATAGTTTTCGAAATAATTGATGAAATATTTTTGGGCGTTTCTCAGAAATCACCCTGTATTTTATAAACTAAAAGAAATTTAGCAACAATGTAAATGAGTCTGAAATGGGCATCAAAAAAGGCAACTTGTCTCTAATTTAAGCGACCTTGTAGATCTCACCGTTTCAGATATAGTAATAGTGGTATCACTCAAAATATACACCCTGTATAGTTTGCCGCTTCAGCTGTTTTAGGAATATCAAGTCGTAAAAATTAAAAAATTGGTATAAAAAATAACAGGTAGATATAGGAACTGGGCTGGGATTCTGTAACGAATAGCGATATTTTCGCTATCTCTATTGACGTCCCCTCTCTATTGATTTCGAAAAGAGTGAAGAAGACAGCAAGTGCCATGGCGATATCGATAACGATCTCTATGCGTTACAGAATTCCGCCTCTGACCTGTTGATTCACCTTCTGAAAATTATTGTGAATAGTTGTAGTAGATAACAATAATTTTTCCCTACCTATAGGGAAATTCCCTATGCGTTACCATCACTGGGAGCAATCCGAAATTTGACATTTCCAACATTCAATTGTTTTTTTTGACGATGAATTAAAGTCTGTTTTTTTTTTAAAGATAATTCCCCAAGTCAAAAATATAGTAACTATGTTGGCAACACAAGCCCTTTCTACATAAAAAAATTGACGCATTGACAATTTTACATTGTATTGCCAACATAATGTCAGTTTGACTTTTACCTTAAAAAAAAAACAGATTATATGAAAATTTAGGTAAAGTCCCAAAACTTTTGCATTTACACTTTTCTTTTATCTGTCAAGGTAAAAAGGGCTGCAGGTGGGGTGTCAATATAAGGTACCTGTCCCAAATAAGGCCATGTTAAGAAGTTTAATTTTTTCCTAACATTATCCACCAAACCCAACAAAAATCGCGAGCTTATATGTGAAGTGTTTCGCTTCTATTACTTAAATATTAACTCCAATTTATTTATTTTTTTATATAAGTTGTGATTTTTGCGTAAAACAAAGACGTTTACCATTGGCCTTATTTGGATCACTATGCTCCTAATAAGGCCACCATTAAAAAAATGTTTAAAATAAATACAACAGGGTGTCCCAGGGAAAACAGTCCACCCCGAGTTATTGGATTTGGGATGAGAATCTGGAAAAACGCTCGGACACGTCGATTTTTGATTTGAGGGAGAACTATTTTTCAGTTTTTTTCATCCCCTTAGTTTCAACCCCCTAGCTAGGGGGAGAACAACCCCCCAAATTTAAATCTGGGATAGGGGTCATGCCATACCTCTTTTTAAAGGTCTCGTCGAGTTCTTTATGCTTCTAGAATTTCGTCTCATTATTTTCATCCGTAACGAAATGACAGCTTGTCAAAATCTTGGAAATAGACTATTAGTTTTAGTGAGAGCAAAAGCGATACTCACCTCCCTTAATAAAAATACTTGAAATGAAGTTTTTTCCTATTATTATTAATGAGGTGTACACGAGAATTGTAAATTGTAGGTATTTTTACTCGTATTTTTATTAAGGGAGGTAAGTACCGCTTTTACTCCTATTAAAACATAGTCCATTTCCAAGATTTTGATAAGCTGTCATTTCGTTATGGATGAAAATAATAAGATGAAATTCTAGGGTCGTAAAGAACTTGATGAGACCTTTACAAAGAGGTATGACACGGCCCCTATCCCCTATTCAAATTTGGGAGGTTGTTCTCCCCCTAGCTAGGGGGTTGAAGCTACGGGAATGAAAAAAACTGAAAAATAGTTCCCCCTCAAATCAAACATCGACGTGTCCGAGCGTTTTCCCAGATTCTCATCCCAAACCCAATAAATCGGAATGGACTGTTTTCCCTGGGACAAGCTGTATATAAAAATTAATGCCACTTTGCGTTGTAATTTTATAACTCAAGAACGGTCTCACCTAGCCAAACCAAATGTTTAGGTTTTGTTCGGACTATTTATTAGATGGTTTATGTGAAGTTTGGACAAAATCGGTCGAGCGGTTCTTTATTTATCACATTTTTTGTAATAAATGAATTATTCAATAAATGGAGGATCATTTTGTTAATGGGGATTTTGCTGTCAAATTGAAACTTTTTTCAGCGTTGACAGTACCAGCATGTTGTTATGTCAATAAGGTGGTCATTTAATAGACCTATCTCGCATGATTAGAAAAAGAGAGCTTAATTGTAATAAATACAAGTTAGAAAGCAATAAAAGATGACATGCGCGCGCAACTCGTAGGCTGCAGTGTAGCCAGATTGTATTGTTGCAGAAATAATATGTAAAGTATTAGTTTGCTCTTTGTCAAATTACACGTTACAAAGAAAGAAGGAACGATTCATTCTTAACTGGCCCCTGAATAATAATATGAGGCAAGCCTGTCACAAACTTGCTTCTCATTGGACGCTCACCTGCAGCCTACAAGTGACGTGCGCAGTCCCGGGCTGCGTTCAAAAACGGCTAAAGCCGAGCCAAAATTGGCATATTGCGTTCAAGTTCGGCTCCAGCGTGCCAAAAACGGTTGGCTTTACACGTTCCAAATCGGCCGCGGTAAAGTAACTTTTGGAGGCTCTTTCAACTGAGTCTAGAAATGGTTATACGAATTTTGATTGGATGAGACCAAATTCAATATGGCGTGGCCGCCAGGCAAGTTAGTTTTGAATATGGGTTTTCATGCATATTTCAATTATTTTGTTTGTTTGCAGCTTCGATTTTGATTATTCAATAAAATATTTGTTAACTAAGTACGTTAACTATTAAGTCGGGCAGAAACTAGATATTTTTTGGTCCATGTATGGTCGCCACGCCATATTGAATGTCACCCGGTTTGGATTGCATATTGAGAAACGGTATTTGGCGTTCCAACAAATTCACACCAGATTTGACATCGCCGGTAGAAGGGGAATAGTAGGTTTTGGCATTGGCATTGCCGTCTTTGAACGCACTCCAGGTAATAGGAGATCGGTCTATTACTTATTTTATTTATTTATGAAAAAAATTTACTAAGCCCGCATACGGCGCCATCTCTTATAACCAATATCAAGTTTATTTTGTATTTTGTATTTTGTATACCGCGCCATCTCTGATACCTGGAACGAAGCTCGGCATTGCAGATACAGTAGAACAATGCTGCTCAGGAATGGGAGCTATTTCGAACAGAACTATTCCACTATTCCGATCAGATAGAGTGGTGCAGAAAGATTAGATCAGATAGAGTAGTGCAGATAGAGTAGAACAGATGGAGTAGTGCAATGCATGCAGTGCAGATAGAGTGAAACAGGGCTGCGCTAGAGATTTTTTTTTGTTTTCTTTACATTCTTTGAACATTCCTGTGCCTGAGTTTATTTATTTGGTGGTACACTTCACAAGAATAATGTCCACAAGCTGCCTAAAAAAGGATGATGTAAAATTTTAATTTTAGGCGACTTCTGATCCAGAGAGTAAACATTAATTTTCTTCAACCAAAGCCAAATTCACCATCGAAAAAAACTGCATTTAATTCAGCTAATAGATACGTTAACACAACATTTAATAGGTATATGTATTTAATAATTCAGAGGCGGTACGAAGTTCGCCGGATCAGTTAGTTATTTATAAAAATATCATTATTTGAGAAATAGAACACAAAATATAACTTATACGTTTGCTGCATTCCTACAATAATTCCAAGTCCTGGGATGGTGATCTGAATAGGTCTATAGTCTGGCAAGTGGTAACTTGGTAGAGACGAAAGGGGGAAGAAAAGTTGGGCGTAGCCTAAGAATATTCACTGACACCTCAACTGACACCGCCTGATGACAACCATGTCTTTGGGTTCAGTGGCACCGAAAATACCAGGGAAATAAAGCAAAAAATTCTTGATTTTCACCAATAACCACGCCACTGGTGCTGTCCTTCAGGCTCTAACCAATAGAATCATGCCTCTGAATAATCACGCCTCTCCACATCATTCATTTCGCAATGCTGCCGGATTTTATTCTATTTCAAAATGCTACACATACCCATATTGCAAAAAAAAATATGTCACCAACTGGTTTATTATTGTTTCTGTCAAGTTTGGCAAAGCAGCAAATTCTTTTGCAGTTCGCCGTTTCGCTAGCCAGACAATACATACTAGATACATACTACAACTAGAACAAATAAACCGCAGCATCTCTTGCTTGGTTAGACTCCAGGAATTACAAAAAACATCACTTGGGTAATAATATGACACATTCTTTCAAAAAAACACTGTGATGTGAGGCCAATTGAACATTTTTCGTATGATGGCCTTATTAGGAACATGTTAAATTGATTAAAAAAAAGTCTGTAGGTAACTAGAAATTTAGCAAAGATATTATTCTGTACTTAATCTGTAGCTTTCTCAATACATAAATGTCTGTTAAAAAATTACAATCGCTCCATTCACTTTTTAAACACGCATATAAGCTAACTGAGTTCCAGCCTCAAAGTTATAGTGTAACATATGGATTACGTGGTTGGCCATTTTTCGACATATGACAAGTTGCTAGAAACCCTTGCAATAGTTTTTCATTTGCATTATAGATTTCTTTTTTAATAATATTGTAATTTTTGAAAATGGGATTCAATATTAGGCATTAAAGGGCACAGGCCTTATTAGGTACATGGCCTTATTTGGGTCAGGTACCTTATAAAAAACACCCTGTACATAACTATGTAGGAAACTACCATAGTCTGTTGATAGAGGGCGGTACTTTCGAGAAGCCATTCAGAGAAAATAATTTGAACAGAATGATTTCAAAGATTTTAAATCAATTTTTCTGTTTCTACTAGTAGTGATAAAAAAAAATCTATAATGTGTCATGAAAGGTTTGTTAGTTACCCTAGTAATTTCAGGGGCATGCCACAGGTTATGTCTGATGGTTTTTTGCAGGAAAAACATCGTCCAGTGGATTTATTTTCAATTATCCTGCTTTGTTCCCTAACAGTTTTCGTGAAAAGAATTATATGTGTTTTTGTCATAAGAAACAATGTGTGAAAGAGACCCTTCCGAGGACCTTTCTCATTTTCCTTACAGCCATAAACTCCTTTTCCAACACATTGTTTCTTAGTACAGAAACCGAAAGAAAAAAAAAAAAAACTCGGAAACCGTTGAAGATAAACCTATTGAACTTTATATCATTGAAATCAGCTAATGCAGCCAAATAGAAAAAAACTGAGAACGTCACTAAATTCTCCGTGAAAAAGTGCTTCTAGAAAGTCTTTACGAAAATCAATTATTTCCATACACAAAAAAGTTATGAACGTTTCACAATATTGCTCAAAATCGAGAATCGTCCTCTAGCGGCTAAACCTTATTTGAGGCTCAGAATGAGGGGATCAATTTTTTTCCATCTCTAAAAAATAAAAATAAAGGGTGTTTCCATAAGAAATTGCCTAATTCGGACCACCCTGTACATACAAGTAGGACCAAATTGCACAAAAATCAAAATCAATTTGTTATCCTCATCGCTATGGCACTTGGTATCTTCTTCTTTCTTTTTGAAATTAATAGAGAGGGAAGTCAATAGAGATAGAGAAAGTATCTCTATTCGTTACAGAGTCCCAGTATATATGTATATATATTTTAGAAACTCGGTTAATACGGAGTATGAACGCGCGTACCTCGGATAATCAGGGTTTTTGGGTCTTTAGACTGGCTCGGTTAATCCAGAGCTCGGATAATTGCGATTTGGATAATTGGGGTTCTCCTGTATGTATGCATGTCTAGTATTTTTTACCTATTTGAAAGTACCAGTCGTTGTGCTCATCACATCATCTGATTTCTGATTGATAAATGAGGATTGGATTATTCCAAAAATGCAATAAATAGATAGATAACTAAAGGGTTTCTGAACTGTGAACAAAGGGATGTTTAATTACACTGTTCTATAAATTTTAAACCAAACAAAGATTCCAAATTTAAGTTAAGATTTTCTGAATTACATTTGAAAAAGGTGTAGTACTTAACTGAACTACGCCTTCCCAAACTACCAACAATCTACATACACACACATTAACATGAATATAAGTACTTGCATATAAGTAAAGTTTTAAAAATTTTTAGTACCAATGTTTGGATTAGTACTGAAGTTAAATACTAAAGTATCTTTTTGTACTTAAGTATATACTCCAAGTATTCACAATACTCAGTACAACAGCTTTGCTAATAGGAGCTACAATTCCTGAAAATTTTGATTTAATATCTCATACATATTCTGAATATTTTGAGAGTTTTGACAATTGCAATCGATAGAGCAGGCTTAAATTAGTTAAAAAAAAACTTTATATCATTTTCAAATGGCAAATTCTCAAGGAAAAAAAAAATCCAAAAGAAAATATCAATTTTGACACTGGAATTTTTTTCAAATCTTGACAAGGTTAAAAAAATTGCTCATATCTTAATTGAAATTTGAGCAAATAATCGTTGGAAAGGGCATTGATTTCTCTAAAAAACTGTGCTAAATTGGTCCTGAAAGCTTGAATACTTTTTGAGCAATTAAGCCTCCAAATCGAAATTTGTTAAAAATTTTAAACTCAAAGAGGAACTTTAAAAAATAGGTATACGATGTGGGTTTCTCAGTAACTAGTGAATTGATTGAAACTGAAAATAATTAGCAGTGGTAAATTTAAATGTTTCGTAATCGTAATGTTAATTTCCTAATTTACAGATAATCATCATGACCTCCTTATTCGATCAATTTGAGCAGGCCTCGTTCAGAACCAAAAATAACAACCTGAGCACCGCAGATTTGGTGAGTTTCATGATGATTTTGTACTATTTTTTCAACTAGAATTTTTTTTAGACTAATTTGGGTTACATAGACATGACCCTGCAACAAGACATTCCAATTTTTACAAAGTCCAAAAGGGACTTCACACCCTTAGACAAAATCACTCACGTGGCCATTGCAAACAAATACTTGGTAGTGGCGATGGCCAATAACGATTTGCTTCGCATGAATTTGAATAATCCTTCAGAAAGAAGTGGTACTTAATTAAATCAATAATTATTTTCAAGAATAATAATAATACATAATTTTTTTTTAGAAATTAAATTAGCCAAGTATACCCAAAGTAAACTTACCAATTTGTTTTTGGATCCAACAGCAAATCATTTGTTTTTAACTTTTGTCCCTAGAAAGCCTAGTGAAATTCCAGAATTGATGTATTTGGCTAGAAAATCTGATAAAATTAAATCTAGTACCAAGGTACCAACTTATATACCAAATTATTATACTTAATAATAATTATTATTTGAATTAGTTTCGAGGTAATGAATTCACGGCAGTAGCTTGGAACCACTTGAACGAATCTGATAGTACCACTGGACCTATTTTGCTTGGTATAAATTTCAATATATTAAAAATACAAATCTTAACTCTTTTCATGTTTTAGGTACTTCAAAAGGGCTGATTTTTGAAACAGAAGTTGCCCTAGAAGAAGACAAACTGTTCTCTTCTAGCTTGGAACAATATTGGAGACAGGTAAAGAGTTTTTTTTTTGGTATATCAATTTTCAATAAAGTTCTTATTTCAAGCTTCCTAACTATTTACCACTGTATGGTAATAAGGAAATTGAGGGTTTGGTGAGTCTTTTGTGCATGATTTCGGTTTTTTTTCATTGCACATTCTGGGGGTTCATGCATCATAAAATCGCTCATCAATAATTATTGTACGAGTTTCATGAATTATTTTTATAGGTTTTTGATATAGGAAAAAACACAAACACTCCCATAACTGCCCTGGAATATTTCCAATGCGCCGGTACAAATAAATACCTTATTTTTGCTGCTACACCGACGAAACTCTATTTCTTTTCTGGAACCGCTGAACACGATGAGAAGCCTCTTTTGCAACAAGTGTTTCATAAATATTTGAATATACCTGAAACTGAAACATTTTTAGGTAAATTTTTTCTAGCTTATCTTATTGTATTCAAAGTGAATTTTTCACTTTTTTAGCTTCTGACAGTCGTCTTAGTTATTCTAGGCTTCAGTTTTGGTCTGAAAATCTCATTACACCCAATAGTTTTGCTTGGATAACTGAAAAAGGCATACATTATGCTCAGGTAAAAATTTATCAGGCATTGTAAACTGTTATGTCATTATTAATTATTGTAGTTAGATCCATTAATAGACGACAAAATGTCTTCATTAAAAGACAAAATCAAACTCCTAGAATATCCGAAACCGTTGTACGAAGACTTTTCTCAATCCCCCAAATATCCAATTTCTATAGCAATGACAGAGTTTCACATTTTGCTCGGCTACACAGACAGTATCAAAGGTATGTGCCTGCTAAGCAAGGAAGTCGTTTACGAGGATCAGTACAACGAGGCTTTCGGGAAACTGGTCAGCGTTTTGAGAGACACCAGAACAGGTCCTAGACACAAGTTTGTAAAATTATTGTAAAAGAAAATTGTACTTTATTAGGTGATATATGGGCTTTGTCTGAGAATGCCATGTTTCGGTTCAAGGTGCATCGTGAAGAGAGGAATATTTGGCAAATATTTTGTGCCAACGGTCAATTTGATTTGGCCAAAAAATATTCGAGAGCCAACGAAGCTTGTTATAATCAGGTTTGATTTGAGGGATTATTTTGGGGTTTTGTAGAGGATTGAATTTGAATTTCATTACGTTGAAATCGGATGAAAATTATTGGAGCTGTGAAGCAAAAATTGTCTCCTACAAAAACTAACAAAATAACCCAATAGAAATTTTCAAAAACCCCTTTTAACATTCGTAGAGCCATAATTATTATGTATTTGCTATTCAGGTTTTGATAAAAGAGGCTGAAATGTTGTTCGAGCAAAAACAGTACGCCTTGAGTGCTCAGAGATACGCCGAAACTCAATCTTCTTTTGAAGAAATTTGTTTGAAATTCATACAAGTGGATGAATCTGATGCTCTCAAGATTTTCTTAAGGAATAAGCTGAGTAAGAGTTTTTCTTCTCATAATAAGCAAGATATACATATTTCAAGAAATTTTTAGCTACTTTGAAGCCTCAAGACAAAACCCAAATAACGATGATTGTAATTTGGGTGGTAGAACTCTACCTAATGAAATTAGAAGAAATCCGTCTGCAAGGTTTGGAAAAATCGGCCTCTTACGATGAAATCCAAAAAGAATTTGAAACTTTCATGGCCTTACAAGAAGTTGCCGAATGTATCCGCAACAACAAATCGACTATTTACGAGCTAATGCAAAGCCACGGAGATAAGGGCAATTTGATCAAACTAACCATTGTCAGTAAGGATTTTGAAAGGGTAAGGATTTTTAGGGCACAAAGACTCACAATAAGTGCCTCATTTTCTAGCTGATTCGTCATCACATTTTTAAAAACGACTTCAGAGATGCTCTAGGCGTTTTGAAAAGTCAAAACAATTTAGAAATGTACTATCAATTCGCCCCGGTTCTGATGCAAGAAATCCCAAGACAAATGGTTAAAACTTTGATTGAACAAGGCAGGAAATTGGTGGCTTTGAGGCTTTTGCCCGCCCTGGTTTCCTGCAATGGTGAATTACACGCTTTGGAAGTTATCACGTAATTTTTATTTGATAGAAAATTACCTACTTAAAATAATAAATTGATTTTTATAGGTATTTGGAGTATTGTGTTGGAGAATTAAAAAACACCGACAGAGCTATACATAACTTTTTGTTGTCGTTGTATGCCAAATATGATTCTAAAAAGCTCATTGATTATTTGAATATGCAAGGCCAAGAGTTAAGTTTGGTAAGTTATGAATTAGTTGAATAACAAAAAATTTCATCCGGTTGAATTGTAGATAAATTATGATGTTTACTTTGCTTTGCGTTTATGCACCGAGCAAAATCGTACAGAGGCGTGCGTCCAGCTGTTTGGCCTACTAAAATTGTGGGAATCCGCTGTGGATTTGGCCCTCACAGTCGATCTGGATTTGGCGAAAAAAATGGCCGATATGCCCGAAAACGATACGGAGCTCAGAAAGAAACTGTGGCTCAAAATTGGTATTTTTTTTTGGTTTTTTTTTTTTGTCCATTTTGTCTTCAGTTTGTGGCTTGCAGCTCAACATGTGGTCAATGAGAAAAACGACATCCAGGAGGCCATGGAGTTTTTGAGCGACTTAATTAAAATTGAAGATATTTTGCCGTTCTTTTCTGATTTTGTCACCATTGATCATTTTAAGGATGCTATTTGTGATTCTCTTAAGGTAATCAATTTGTTTTTATTTTTTTGTTATAAGTAATTCAATTATTTAGGGCTACAATCAACAAATTCAAATCTTGAAAGAGGAAATGGAAGAGGCTACGAATTCGGCAAAGCAAGTGCGAGACGAAATTCACAATTTCAGAAATTGCTACACTTACATTAATGGGTCAGACAAGTGCGAAATCTGTCAAGTCACTCTCATGGTCAGGCCGTTTTATTTTTTCCCTTGTCATCACAAGTTCCATTCGGATTGTTTGCTGGCTGAATTGGAACCGTCTTTAGGTGATGCTGATTTTTCGTCATAATTATAAATTTTAATCAATTCAATTTTACAGGTTTAGTGAAAAGAAGTCGTTTAGCAGATCTGGAAAAACAATTTCAAGCTCTCAGCATACAAATGAATTCGGATAGTGTCAGCACAGAATCTACAGGTAATTTGAGACAAAATCTCAGAATAAATTTTATTCTGGTTTAAAATTTTTTTAGGCATTTCCGCTAGAGATCAAGTCAAATCCGAAATTGACAACATTATAGCTTCGGAATGTCCGTATTGTGGTGAAAACATGATCCGGAATATCGATAAGCCGTTTATTGAAGATTTTGATTATGAAAACATTATGAGGCAGTGGGAATAATGTATTGATATGCCTAATAAGTAATTAATTGAAGTGATATACCTACATAATAATAATATATAACTAATAATGCAAACATTATAGAATTATTAAACTACCTATCTGATGTGTTTTTCTTAAATTGGAAAGTTGAGTTAAAATCCTAATTTGTATTGAAGATTGTTTTCTCTCAAGTTCTTCTCACTAAGGATGATTCATATAATTTTTCTATGATTTTCTGCAAACTGTTGCATTTCACTTTCCACATGGGGGCCACTCATTTTTATACATACTACACCAAGATTTTCCAAAATTTTCTTCCACTGTGAAGAGATGATGTGAAAATAGCAGCCACATCTATGCTTGTTTTCTCTAATCATTGGATGGCTTTGTAGATCCCAGGAATAGTTAAAGCTTTTCCGAAGACATTGATTTTGAAACGGTACATTTAATGGTAACTTATACATATAATAGTTTTAATGGTGACATTGATAGGGGTTGGCGGTTGGCAGTCTTAATTTGCAGAGTGAAAGTTTGAATATACATCATGAAGTAGCTTCACTATTGATTTTTGACTCCTGTGAGCTTTCAATTATTGTCTGACTATTTCTCTAGAAACAATCAAAAATTGAGAGCCGCTAAAAAACCGAATTTTGAATCTTCCTGGATCTTGTAAATTTTTGCTCTTGAACCAGTTATCTCCAGATAATCAAGAGCCCTCTAATAATAATTTTGATTATTAGCAAAACTGTCCAGCAAATCAAGAACCGGTGATATTCAAAATTTTATTTATTACCTGCTTTTAAATCGCTAGAGGTTTTGTGAGAAATCCAATATTTTTTGATTCGATGGAGAGTTTTTCTAAAGGCACTCAAGAGCCGGTAATAATCAAGATTGCGACTATTTCGTTGCTCTAGTTTTTCAAATCTTATTTGCTCTAATAAAGTTACATGGCAAGGGAGGTAGTATTTGAATATTTTTGATTCGAAACTGTATGATTATTCATAATATAATATATTCATAGGAAACTGTCTAGTTTGAGAGTGTAAACAGACCCTAAAAACACTAGCGAAACACAACCAGGTAACGCTGATGTAACTGCCTGGTCATTGAGGCACAGAAGGAAACGAAGAAGCAGATGGCCTCGCAAAAGAAAGGGCCTCAACACCATACCATAGACCAGATCCCTATTGTGACTTAATGAAAAGCCGCATGATGGAAAAACTTAACAAATGGAAGAAAGACCAACTGTCAACATATTGGAGGTACACTCCGGGACTAAGACAGTCAAAAACGTTGATCACCCTTTCAACAAAAACATGAGCAGCCAGACATCAGAATAGTCGTAGGACTGCTCACAGGACACTGCATGATGCTCAAATTCCTCGAGGGGGCAACACTGTCACCAGAAGAAGTGGGCCAACTGACATCCAGAAAAATAGCTTCCTTCGGCAGAAGTCTGCGCTTCCTGGAGACAATTTAAAATCTAGAGTCACGTACAAAATATCTGCAAGGTAACAATGCTGAGCGGCTGGAAAGCCCCACAATCTACAAGAAGACACCGATTTTCTATGGTTTTTGGATGTGTGAGTTATTGAACTTACTTGACTGACAAACATTATTGACATTTGCAAGTTTGTATGAAAAAAAAATCAATGACGAAAAAATCCTTTGAGATAAAAATGCCATTTGTAACCATCTATTACGGGCCTTATTTAAACCACGGAATAATCGAACATAAAATACTAAAGATCCATGGTCTTACTTGTAAGATTTTCATGATTCTAATATACCAATGTATGAAAACTTTTTTTAGCTGCCCTAAAACGGTTGGGCTACACCACCCATTCGATACCAATTAATCAGTACAATAGATTATGTATAGAGATGTGCGAAAGGGTAATTTTTCAATGCGATATTAGAAATTTGATGTTTAACATGCAAATGGAGGATGATCCAGTGTGCCAAAGGGCAGTTAATGCTGTTCAAGACGCTAGAGAAAGGATGTTTGTGTTTGATAAAGAATCGTAAGTTAGGAAATTGTAGCTGTAGTAGGCCAGAGATTATTCTATTTTTCCACATAAAAAAAAAAGTAATGTTTGTTTGACGAGGGTTTGTACTTTTGACATCATTTGCCTCAGTCAGATTTTATTTGTTAAAAAAGGAAGGCAAATATGTCAAAAGTACAAACCCTCGTGAAACAAAGGGTACACAGATTTGACAATTTGAACCCTCAAACTGGTTCTGACAGTGTTAATGTGACAGAATTTTTAATTTAAACTGTTGATATTTTGTTCATTATTCATTATTTATTTTCTTTATATCCTCAAGAAAATAAAGTACCTAATTCGTCGACAATGACAATTTTACCGAATAATACCATAGCGAATCGTCATAGTGAAGAAGCCAAAACTACACAGACAAAAAGTGATAATAATGATGGATCACCAACACGTACATACAGACACAGAAAAAGACACAGAGAACACAAACACGAACCAAAAAGGGACAAAATAAGCCCTAAAAAGGAATTTGACAACAACCAAATCAATCCTCAAGAAGAACCTTCCAATACAGGCTACAACAGTGAAGACGAATACGATTTAAGCTGCAAAGACAAACTAGAAGAATGGCAGAAAAAAGACGAATCATTTTCCCAAGCCTTATCAAATTTGGGCTGGCAAATTAAACCAATAAACGAAGACGGCGCTTGCCTGTTTCGTTCGATCGCAGATCAAATCTATAACAATCAAGAATTGCATTTCAAAGTACGACAAGAATGTATGGATTACATTGTACGAAACCGGGCTCGTTTCGAACCTTACATTACAGAGGATTTCGGCAAATACGTTGCTAGAAAACGCCAGTGGTTTGTCCACGGCAACCACTTGGAAATCCAAGCGATGAGCGAATACTACAATCGCACGATCGAAGTTTACTGCTACAAAATCCAACCGATTAATATATTTAATTTTTCCCCACACTCGCACAAACCAATAAGATTATCTTATCATAGAATGTGCCATTACAATTCTATTATAGACCAGCTACTCATAGAACAAACAATGTTCGAAGACAAACTAAAAGCTACTGATTGGGAAGCTACAAATGAAGAAATTGAAGAGCAAACTGCTAGAGAAAGTTATAGACAATATTTGCAAGACAATAATGGTAAAAAAGACGATTTCGATCAGATTATGGCAAAAGTTTTGGCCGAATCACAACAAACTTATTTGGACGAGTTACGCAACAAAGGACCATCCACTTCTTACAATAACAATAATTAATTTAGTGTATTTTTGGGTTTATATTTATTTTTTTTGATGTTCTTGTGAGTTTATTTTCATATTTTCTTTTTAATGGCACACTTATAATAGTTGGACCGATATGACACTGCCAGGAACACCCAGTAAATCCAATCTCAATTCCAAGACCAACTTTGAAGAGATGCACTTGCCTGGCAGGCCCCGGCCTTCATCCAGCGAGGTTTTAGAGGTTTCCGGACAAGTAAGGGTGAGTAAGGTGAAAATAGTGGACAACAAGGAAATCCATTTGGTGCCCAAGCTCAGCGTTATAGACGAAGGCGAGGAAGGCGACGAAGAAACTGAGTAAAATAAAATTATTGTTGAGTTGAAGTTTGTAGTTGTTAGCTTATTTAACATTAAAATGTCTCTTGGATTTTTGGCTCCGACGCTTCCTAGTGCGGTGTCACATTATGCGTTTTTAACACTGCGACAAGAAGGGATGCGTTTTGACCGGATAAACTGTCACACTATCCCATCGGGATCCGTGTTGGGTTCAATAAAAATATACCTCAAGTTGGTTTTAGGGCTTTGTGTTGAACCCCGCGCTCTGTCTATATTTAAACGGATCCCGATGGAATAGTGTGACAAGTAGAGTTCATCCAGTCAAAACGCATCCCTTCTTGCCGCAGTGTTGAAAACCCATAGTGTGACATCACACTTATTGGGTCAAAATAAAAATAAAATAGGAATATGACGACTTTGGCCTTTCGCCACTGTTTTGATGATAACTCGGTCAGGTTTCAACCTTGAAGACAAAATATTGGAAGAATTCAATTTTTTTTCTATTCACGGCTCTTGAATTTAATTTTATTTCCACGACTTCAGATGGTTTTTAGGTACCATTTTTAAATTCTCCAAAAAAAAATATTCCAATTAGCTATTTTGAATTTTTTCAAAAATACAGGGAAGGTCAAAAATAAGTCCTTCTTTGAACTTTTGAACACCCTGTACTTCATCCTCTTCTTATAAGCAGATATATTTTATTCCAGTTTCCTCTATAAATAAAAAATTCTCTGCAATAAATGAAGCAAAGAATATAAAAACGAAGTTGACATTATTTATTAAAAGGTAATTTTGGTTCCATTTAATAAATTCTCAACTACATTTAAAAGTTCCAAACAAAAATAAACTTGCCAAGCTACCAGTAAAAATGATTTAAAACTAAAAAAACACTGGGACTGAAAATACATTCTTAAATAAATAGTCTTCTTAACCTACTCTAATGACTTAGAAAATAGTCTATACGTCTATACGTAAAAAAAAAACACTTAAAATCAACCTAACCCATGACAGAGTCACCATCTTGATGCCTAAAACAAAAATCCCTCCCAGGCAAAGAAGTCAATTTGCAAGGGGTTCCAGCTCTGGTTGTTCCGTGACAGCTGCCCCTCAAACTCATATTTATTAAAAGCGGAGTATTTCTCCTGGTTGAGTTTAATGAAAATGATGTATTGCTTCTGGACCTGGATCTATTCTCGTTTCTTGATATAGGAGGCGTTAATACACGGATGTCATCTTGAAATGTATCATTACTTTCTTCCTCCTCTTCATTATTGATATTAAGTTCAGGATATAAAGAACCATTGGAGGATTGTGAAGATGATTTATTTGTAGTTAATTTGGCTTTTGACCATGCAATAGCGCTAGGTAAAATTTTGCGGTAGTCTAAAGCCCAAATAGTTAAAATTTGTAATGCAATTAAAGTTCCAATTGCAATAAGTAAATTTGAAAAATTCAAAAATTCATTTCCAGACAAGGCCATGGCTAAATTAAATGGAGGTAAAGTGACAATAACCATTCTAGTGCTAGCTCTAGCTGATAAAAATGCACACGCTAGCATGCCTGTTAGAATAAAACCCACATGCCATAGGACTAAATAAAGTCTTCCTACAGCTTCATCTGTACCTCCAAGAGCTAAAAATAATAATTGTTAATTGATTAAATTATTATTAATAGGAATTATTGATTACCTGTCATTATCCAAGCAAGTCTTTCTTCCAAAGCTTGCCTAGTTCCACCAACCAAACTCACTAAAGCGTGTACAGTTTCATTAACTTCACGCAAATTCCTCAAAGTTGATTCATATTGCTTTTTAAACTCTTCATTTTGCTTCAACAAAATCCCCGAATAAGTTTCAATTTTTTCAAACAACTCATTGGCTCTCTGTTGAATGTTAATAACATCGTCCAGCAATTCTTTGTGATTACCAGCAATTGTATCTGCGGAATATTCTAGTTTATTTTGTACTTCGTGGGTCATTTGGAGGAGCTTGTTGTGGGTCTCGTGGATAAGGCGTTTTTCGTCTACGAGACGCATTATGTTGTTTTCGAGTACCATTTGGCCGTGGAGTTGCGCTTGTTGCATGTCTTTTTGCTGATCGGAGAGTTGTTCTTGAGCTAAAACGAATTGTTGTTGAGGATTGAAAAAATTACAAGAATTAGTCTGGAATTAAATTAAAGGAATCACTACAGAATTATTATTTGTTAAAGTGTATTGTGTTTACCTTAAAATGTTTACTTTAAAATTCCAACAGTGGGATCAATAAAAACTCAATAAAAAAATTGCAGAAAAATGCATGGTTGTGATAAACAAATTAGCCCAAGAAATTTATACCTGGGCCGCAAAAAAATGTGCGAGGGCAAGCTGATTTTTCCATGGCTGATTGGGGAGTGTGTCCTGAGTATTGAGCCAAAAAATCACACTCGAAAGCCTTGTGTGTTCGGCCCTATTGGCCTTTTTCTTATTATTTTTTTTTTTTCGACAAAATGACCTCTACAAAACTGTAGATAATTACATTCTGAGCAACTTTGCCTTATGACTTTTTTTGCGAGCTATTTTAGTTTTTAGTGCTTCAGAATTCGCAATCTGCAGGTTTGCTATTTAATTTTTTTGCGAATTCTGGAGCACTAAAATGGCCGCAACGCCTAAACTAAAATAGCTAGCAAAAAGAGGCATGAGGCAAAGTTGATCAGAATGATATTATCTACAAGTTTTGCCGAAAAAAAATAAATAAGAAAAAGGCCAATAGGGCCGAACGCACAAGGCTTTCGAGTGTGATTTTTTGGCTCAATACTCAGGACACACTTCCCAATCAGCCCTGGAAAAATCAGCCTGCGCTCACAAAAATTTTTGCGGCCCAGGTATAAATTTCTTGGGCTATTATATTCAATTCAATAAAAAATTATATGGTTCTACTATGGCAAAGTATGATTACGAGACTTGTAAAAAACCTTACAATTATAAAGCCAGATCTAAAAATGGTGTTATATTTGGTGCCCTATGTGACGGCTGTAAACTGATATTTCGCAAACCTTGTGCAAGTTTATCGACTACCAAAGCTGATGCAGTAGCCCTATCTCAGCGAAATTTGATTTTCTTCTGCCAGGATTGCAAACCCCAACTGCAAGATCTACCTAATTTAAAATACATAATCAATTGCCTTGACGCTCAAAAATTGAAATGTAGAGAAAAAGATGCCCAAATAGACACCATCCTTGAGTTATAGGGAGAAATTGACAAACTTTTGTCTGAGAACACTCAACAAATAGCATATACATCAAGGCCTCCGTTGCAGCACTCAGTATTTTCAAGATATTACTTTTACAACAGAACAAGAGAGCAATTCAAAAACTGAAATTCAACTTCAGGAAATTCAGCGGCTCAAAAGTCAAATTATTCAGCTTCTAGGTTCTAATAGGGGTCAAACCACACTCGTCACAGAATTAGAGAGCAAAGTGCGTACCCTTGAAGTTCAGTCTAAGGATCTAGACTGGTGAATGGAAAATGACGATGACGGCCATAGAATGGTGTATCCATCGGTAAAATTTGATGAGAATAAAAACGCAGGGATTGCTTGAGATCAAAACTGAAGGGATAATTACAGGAAAATTGCAGGGATACTTCACCTACTATTTTGAGAGCGTGATAGGGGGTACAGGGCACAATAGGGGGACGTAGTGTCTCGAGTGACTGGTAGGGGGATGGTTGTTTCTTGAGTAGTAGGGGGAATGTCTTTTTGTCTCGTCTGCCGGAATACCACCTACCTCTGGCCTCTCTTTCTATGAGACCAGATACTGACCATCCCATGTATTTTTATACTGCAGGTGGCATCTTTGATATTTAAGAAGTTTTGTGAATTTTCCAGAGTAGATTGTTACAATTTTAGAAACCAATAATCTACCAATCGACATAAAATCACGAGATCTGCGAGAAAGTCGTCTGATCCATATCCATTCAAACATTTAAAATGCTATCAATGGATTGAAAAGTTATATATCTACCAGTACATATTATCTGATGCATAATAAGTATACAGTAGGTACCTACATACAAAAATGATAATTGTTCCACACTAAGTAGTTTTGGCAATTTTCATCACAGTTTCGAAACAGTCTGAAATTTGGTGCATTTCAGCAAGTGAAAATATGGAAGGATTTGTTTATCTCAATATTATTACCTAACTGATAAATCATCACTGAAGTAAAAAAAGGGACCAGGGTAATGTAAACAAGCTATTGTACCTTTCTTTTCTTATCTTTTTTTATATTCTCATTTCCCAGTAGACTATTGTGGAGGAATAAGCTATTTAAAAAATAATAATTACCTAAGCTTTTATCCTAACTGCCCTTCAAATCAGAATTTTGGTAAGCTAAGTACTTCTAATTGAGCATGTTTGGTATTAGACCGAGTATTAGACTTTAAGCATTTGGCTGTAGATGTTTTCAATACAGCTTATTTATACATGTGGAAAACCACTTTTGCTTGGCACACTGAGGATATGGATCTGAATTCAATCAAATTTGCATTTTGGAGCACCAAAAACATGGCAAGTTGAATTTATTTGATAATAAGATTATGATGTTCAAGTAAACAGTCATTTATCTTTTTTTGTGTGAAATTAAACTTAGGTTAACAGGAATAAAATTATATTTCCATGGGTGTCAGCTGCACAACGTGATTTCAAGTGAATTTAGTTTAATGGGGCTTTAATAGAATAGCTGTATGCTCTTCAACTTTGCCAGGCAAAATTGTTTTTCTGTTTTCCAGATGAAGAGTCAAGTGATCATTATTGTTAATATATCAATTCAGATATAGGCACAAACTAAATATGATTGATCACCCACATAATACCCGACAAAAGTCGAAACTGAGGGTTGCAACTCTTAAAACCCAAAAGACAATTGCCCAAAGAACAATTTCCTTTTTCGGGCCTTATATCTACAGATTTTTGCCAGATTTTCTTAAGGATGTCACTATATTAAAATTGTTTAAAAGTACATATTTTGAAGAAATGGATTCTTGAAACTCCCCGTACGTTTTTTAGGGAACTAATAAATGGAAAACTCAAATAACATTGCTTGCATGTCGAGTTGCATATACAATATTTAGGTTCAAAAAATTCTTTTAAAATAAGCAGATTCTCTTTGTGAATCTTGTTTTTTGAAATGCAAAGTGACAATGGATTTATACAACATAGTGCTACTGAGGTATTTTTTTTATTTTTTTATTTATATACTTATACTTAATTATTGTTGTAAATTTATGGAAATGAGTATGCTAAGGGTCAAATTTAGATTGTTTTGTGTGTTCTAGTACTTCCTATGACTACTTACTATTTTGTTTCAACATTTGAATGTGGTCTGCATAACTGAACTGAATGGAATAACAAGAAAAGTCTGCGCACAAGTCCGTCAGGACTTCAGCAGAAATGTATTATTGTTTATATTATTTTTTATTTGAATTTTGGTGGGTACAAGTTTTATGTATGCATCTGTGTAATGGATAAAAGAAAGAACAATGGTATCCAAATTTAGAGTTTAGGTTCTGTATCACTGAATGAGGGGAAGGAGGGATAACTCTGCGTACAAGTCCTAGATTAGAACTTTAGCAAAACACTTCTTTCTGTTTATTTGTGAAGCATGGCCTAGAAAGCCTATAAATGTAACGTAAGGGGTACTTACTTATTTTATTCTATTTTGTTATACTTATTTAATTGTGCTTACTTATTATGTACTTATTATGTAATTATTTTTGTAAGGGGGAATTGATGGAAATAGATAAAAATAAAATCATGTTCTATATTGTAGTTGAAATGAAATGGTCGCGCCTCTGAAGAAGAATAAAAAACCTTTCAAAGGAGGTATCTCACATTAATGCATGTAAGAATGATTAAAATCTACAAAAATCATTTGTGCAAAATTCTTCTAATGATTACAGTGACTGGAAACTTTCAGGATTTATGAATTGAAGTTTCCTTTTTGTGCAAAGGTACAGTTGTGAGCATTAAAAATGGGACACCCGATTTTTCCTATTGTAAAACGGGCTTACCAGCTACAAAATAGTATATTGTTTTATTAAGAGTAAAAGTGATACTATTTGTGGCGAGACTACATGTTTGACAGCTGAACGTAGTGTTGATGCATGTAATAGTTATTTATATTACTAGTACGGTATGAGCTTCATTACAGTAACGAGTGAGGAATATTGCCAAGACGAGGTCGTAGACCGAGTGGTGGTAATCACACGAGTGGTGTAATGAGCGTTACTGTACGTGTGATATACAACATTTTATGTACGACCCAGATTTTTTTTATGTATTTGAAATGGTTTTAATTTTTCACAAAAGATTATATTTATAATTTTTGATAAATGAATTTTAAAAAGTGCCGTATTTCAATAAAAATGAGTAACGTAATGAGCTCTCATTACATCACTGAGTTATGTAATGAGAGTTCATTACATCACTGAGTGATGTAATGAGAGCTCATTATATAACTGAGTGATGTAATGAGCTCATTACATCACTAAGCACGATAATGCAACTTATTATATAACTAAAATAGGCTAAAATGAGTTACGTAATAAGCTCTTACAGTGTAGGTCGTACATAAAAATTATTAAAATCTGCAAAAAACACTTGTGCAAAATACTGCTAATGATCACAGTGACTTGGAACTTTCAACGAATTGAAGCTTCCTCTTTGTGAAAAAGTTAATTTGAAGTTTATTTGAAGCTTCAAACTAAATTGGGAAGGTTTTTCTCACGTTAATGCATGCAAAAATAATTAAAATATGCAAAAATGACTTGTGCAAATACTTCTAATGATCACAGTAACTTGAAATTTCCAGGATTTATGAATTAAAGTCTATTTTTTATGAAAAAATCAATTGGAAGTTAATTTGAAGCCCTCGATCAAATTTGAAAGATTTTTCCTTGGATTTTTCATGGAGTTTCTGAACTACAAAATCAGGAATTCCACTGGAATCCCGAATGCTTGTACACAAATTCCAAGGTGATTTACCCCTTGAGGAAATCATAAGTCCAAAATGGTCAACTCTAGATGATAACTTGGGACCCCAGAAACTCCATTCAGTGATTTATTCTCGGATTTATTATAGAATTTGAAGCCAAATCTTAGGAAAAAAAAACGTCAGGAGGAAAATTGAAAAATCCAAAAATTCTCCCCAAATTCCTTTACACTATTTCTTTCCAGGAACTATAAGTCCAAATGAGTTGACATGTTCAGGGATTGTATTCCTCCACAAGAATAGGAATCTCTGGAAATTTCAGCTATCCAATCAATGCTTATAATGGAGCTTATAATAGAAAAAAATATATGATTTTTCCGTTTTGAAAGATCAAAATCTTTGGGAATATTTTTAAAAAAAAGAGGTACCTAAAATGGTTCAAAATGCTGAAAACTCAAAAATAAACCAGATCCTGGTATGTATTTCTAGGAAAAGGAATTAGTAGTAAATTGAGTAGGTACCTACAAGATATTATGTTGCAAAAATATAGAAGTGCCGGAAGTAGTATTGAAAGACAGAATAAGACTTACAGCTGGTTTAGTCACCTTCTGATAAACTGTCAAGTAATGCAATCTGAGGGATAAACAAGCAATCTAAAATTTTATTGGATTGCCAGTTATTTGCAAACCAATAGTATCAGAGATTGGTAAATTTATGTTGTAGACAGTTACCAGTAAGTTTATCTGAAAATGAATAAACCGAGCCTTGACATCAAAAACTAACAAGACAACCAGATGAAAAAAATAAAATTGTTAGTTGATTATTTGAAAGAATTAATTACCTTTAGATAATGATGTATAAGTATCCTCAGCCAAACTAAGTATACTCTCCTGATTATGACTAATCCTCCCCAACGACATTAATTGATCCTTAGAGGCCTCCATCAACCTATTAACAGTGTGCTCTGCTAGCCCTCTAAATTGCGACTGTCTCACCATATAACAAACAGCTCTAGCTCTGTTGCTCATCAAATGATAGCTGGTCCAAGTATCTGAATCCATATCCGTAGTGCAATCTTTGAGGCTCAACTCGTCTGAGCAGGGGAAAATCTTCCTGCCTTCCACGTAAGACTGGCAGTTTAAAAGGTGCACTGCCATTTTGGCCAGTTGTTCGTCGTTCATTTTGTTGCAGTCGGTTTTGAGTTTTAAAACTACCTGGAATTTTATTAGATTTGTTATTTGTATAAACATAGTTTAGAAGTTAGAAATACTTACTCTTTGCTGGCAAGAGTCCAGTTCGGAAATAGCGACTCCTGTAAGTTTAACGGCTTCTGAAATGAATTTTTCGTCTAGAGTAGTGACTTCGTATGGTACGCTGTGAGTAAATTCGCTTCCGTACACTTCTGTGTTCTCATTTTGCTTGTTGTAGCCGAAATATTGGGTAATTCCGTTTATATAATCTTTTAGGGCACTTTCAACGGGACAAAAAAATAGCAATAAAAATAGGGTTTTAACATGAAAAGCTTTTGAAGCATTGAGCATCATTTTTGCAGGATAAAAATGCGTAATAAAAGTGAAAAAGGCACACAAAAACGTGATAAGTAGTTTTAAAAAAGTGTATAAACAAATTAAAATCCGTTACAGCTTATAACAGCTGCTTACTTTGAAGTATGGCAGGTGGTCAAAAAATTTTCAAAAAAAAAGTAGAAAGCAACTGATGATGTTTGTCTTTTTTCAATTGTGTGTATCGAAGAAAGCTAGAAAATGAACAGCCAGTGTTCTGATCAGGTAATCTCACAAATGTCACATTCAAATTTCAGCGCCAAAGTCAGATGAAATTGATTGAGGTTATGGGTAATTTTTATAAATAAACAAATCTAATTAATTTATTTAAACAAAATGGAAAACACTGATAAAGAATTAGTTACTCCGGATGATTTTCCATTTCCATTCGTCCCTTATGACATTCAATTGCAGTTCATGAAGTCTTTATATTTGGTTTTGCAGGATGGAAAGTTGGGGATTTTCGAGAGCCCCACCGGTACTGTAAGTAATTTTATGTATGACCTACACTGTAAGAGCTTATTACGTAACTCATTTTAGCCTGTTTAAGTTACGTAATAAGTTGCATTATCGTGCTTAGTGATGTAATGAGCTCATTACATCACTCAGTGATGTAATGAACTCTCATTACATCACTCAGTGATGTAATGAGCTCTCATTACATAACTCAGTGATATAATGAGAGCTCATTACGTAACTCATTTTCTAATAAAAAACCGCACTTTTTAAAATTCATTTATCAAAAATTATACACATTACACATAATCTTGTGTGAAAAATTAAAACCATTTCGATATGAAAAAAATTTGGGTCGAAAATGTTGTATATCACACTTACGGTAATGCTCATTACACCACTCGTGTGATTACCACGACTCTGTCTACGACCTCGTCTTGGCAATATTCCCGACTCGTTATTGTAATGACGCTCATACCTTACTAGTAATATAAATAACTACTATGTACGACCTACACTGTAAGAGCTTATTACATAACTCATTTTAGCCTGTTTGAGTTACATAATAAGTTGCATTATCGTGCTTAGTGATGTAATGAGCTCATTACATCACTCAGTGCAGTAATGAGAGTTCATTACGTAATTCATTTTTATTGAAAAACGGCATTTTTTAAAATTCATTTATCAAAAATTATAAATATAATCTTTTGTGAAAAATTAAAACCATTTTAAATATAGGGAAAAAATCTGGGTCGTACATAAAATGTTGTATATCACACGTACGGTAACGCTCATTACACCACTCGTGTGATTACCACGACTCTGTCTACGACCTCGTCTTGGCAATATTCCCCACTCGTTACTGTAATGAAGCTCATACCGTACTAGTAATATAAATAACTATTACCTAAAAGCATGCGGAAAGTGTACTTATTTGCAAATAGAAAGTAGCAGTTTACGTCACACTATGCAATGAAGTTACTTTACCGCATTGTGTACAATAAAGTAAACACTAGTATTTCAAAAATTCCTTCTCCATAAGAAATTCCAGTAATGCCTTTTTTTGGAGATATAGATGCTCATAGGTAAAATTTTGTATAAATAACTATTACCTGCAAGCGTGTGGTAAAGTGAAGTTTACTGCACTTGTTTGCAAGTGCAAAGTAGCACTTTACCGCACTCATTTGTAAGTGGAAAGTTGCACTAAACCGCATAGTGTGTGGTAAAGTAGACTTTGATATTTTATATCAGAAATACCATACCTATTCTTTCGCAAATTTTAATAATTGCCTTTATTGACTGGTCAGTGGATCTAAAGCTACTGAAAGAATTCGGATCAAAATACTCGATGTTGCCACTATTAATTATGATAAAAAAGCAAAAATCAAGGGGCAAACCACCTAAGAATTCTTTGCCAAAAATGTGGGGAAATTAAAGGAATTTTGCTCGGGAATTTGTGGGGAATTTGAAGAAACTCATCGGAATTCATGAGAATTTGAGGAATTTATAGGGAATTTGGAAGAATTTATGGGGAATTTGGAAGAATTTGTGAGGAATTTAAAGAAAATTGTAGGGTCATGTCATGATGTCACTGAGGTTCAAATTCTTATTATAAATAATAATAACAAATTAAAAAAAAAAAAAAAACTTGTTTTGTGTTGGACGTTGGATATTCATTTTTATTAAATAAATCCTCCCAAAATTACACTTCATGATTTACAGGTACAAATTTAAAAAATTCAAAAGAATAATGAATACAGTTTTTGTAGGCTGATTTCCAAGAATTTACATGTTGTTATTTTCCCCTGAAAAAATTTTAAAATTTTGAAAAAATGAGCTTCTCACCTTCCTCTTTACATGCAAAAAGTTTCAAAATTTTCCGTTCACTAGTTTTCCAGGAAAATTTTGAAATTTGTGAGACTGTATTTTCAACTAATTCAGTTTTTGTAGGTTCATTTCAAAGATTTTTCATGTTGCTGTTTTCCACTGGAAAAATTTAAAATTTTGGGAAAATGATTCTTCAACTTTGCTCTTCCAAATTTTTGCCTTCACTAGTTTTCCAGGAATACTTTGAAATGTGTGAAACAGTATTTTCAATTAGTTCAGATTTTGTAGGTTGATTTCCAAGATTCTTCATATTGCTATTTTCCACTGAAAAAAATTAAAATTTCGGGAAAATGAGCCTCTAACCTTCCTCTTTACATGCTAAAAGTTTCCAATTTCTCCTCTCACTAGTTTTCCAAGAAAACTTGAAATGTGTGAGACTGTATTTTCAATTAATTCAGTTATTGGAGGTTGATTTCCAAGATTTCTTCAAGTTACTTGAAGTTAATACAAGTTTATCTGTATCCAAATTCGAGTATGTATCCTAGCATCATATTATGGAAAAAAGGCTGAATGTTGAAAAAAGGATTTACTTCTTTCCAAATTATTGAAAAAGGAATTACACACATTCATTTGGCCTACTCAGCCTGACTATGCTGAGGTTCAGATTAAATTTATTGTTTATGATCTTGTAAACCTGTTCAACTTTTAGGAAAAGGTCCATTTAAAATAAAAAGAAACAATATACCTACCCTCAATATTGTGAAACAATAAGTATACATACCTATACCTAAGTAGCTACATGATGTGTATTATACTTGGTATTATACAGTATTATATTTGTTTTAATTTCCTAAAATGGTTTTTTTTTTATCAATTAGGTAATAATATCAAATACGGGTTTAGGTTAGTTTAAACCCCTGCATTTTGGATTACCGAAAACCAATCATTAGTTATAGCTCTAAAGTCAACTAACGTAACCTTGCATTTGATCCTACTCTCGATCCTACTAATTAAAAAATAAATTTCTTATCACGAGTAATTTTGGGGATTTTCAGGGAATTTGTAAGAGACATTGGAAGGGGAAAGCTTCACAAATTGACAGAAAGTTTTTTTTTTCTTTATAGATAATCTTAATAGCTTGTAGAAAGTGTGGAATGCGTGAAAGTATCACTTTCCGCATTGTTTAGGTAAATAACTATTTCTCAAATAATAGGTATTTACTTTACTTTGCATGTAATTTCCCAGGGAAAATCACTAAGCATTATCTGCGGCGCTTTAAAATGGCTCAAAGACCAAAACAGCCACAGAAAAAGGACCCTTGCAGATCAAATTTTATTACTAGATCAGGAAAAACAAAAACTTGCAGCCGATGACGACTGGTTTACGGCCCAATCAAAGGAAATTGAAGTAACAAGGAAATTAAACGAACTAAAGGTTAATAAAACACCATAAAACAATTTAAATAATTTAGTTTGACTATTTTAGATTGAAGAAAAAGTTATGTTGGAATATGAAGAAAAAATCGAAAAAATTAAAAACAACAAACACGAAACAAAAATCAATTTTAAAAAATCAAAAACTCAACAAGTTGTTGCAGAAACCACTGAACAAGATCCAATAATAATTGAAGATGAGGATATTTTATTAGATGAAAACATACAAGATAATTTAGATGATGAAGAAGAAGAAGCAGACAATAAAAACAAATTTCGCCCAATTCAAATTATCATAGCCAGCAGAACTCATTCCCAATTATCTCAATTTGTAGGAGAAATCAAAAAATCACCATTTGCTGATAACATTCGTGTAGTATCACTGGCTTCTAGACAAAATTACTGTATAAATCCAACTGTTAAAAAACTCAATAATATGACTCTTGTTAATGAAAAGTACGTATTGGCTCAAATTTGTTCTTAATACATTCAATAACTAATTTATTTTTAGGTGTTTAGATATGCAAAAAAAGAAACAATCTCAACCAAAACAAGTCCAAGAAGGTAAAGTATTAAAAAAACAAAAAACTTCAAATTGCCAGTGCGAGTATTTCAAACAAACTCACATAGAAGAATTAAGAGATTTTGCCCTGAGCCAAGTGCACGACATTGAAGATTTAGTTCAAGTCGGGCAAGAAATCACTGGTTGTCCTTATTACGCGAGCAGAAAAGCTGCTCAGGATGCTGAAGTCGTTTTAGTACCCTACAACACATTACTCCATAAATCGACACGAGAAGCTAATGGAATAAATCTCAAAAATAATATAGTAATTATTGATGAAGCTCACAATCTTTTAGAAGCTTTAGCTCAAATGTATGGGGCAGAATTGAGTTTTCCTCAGCTTTATTATTCATTGCACTCACTCAAATGTTATAAACAAAGATATAATACTATGTTTTCTGCTAGTACGCTTAGAAATTTGAATCAGTTGATTTTTGTTATTAATAAATTGTGTTTGGTTTTGGGTAAGAATTGTGTAAATGATGTGTATTTAAATTAGATATTATTGAATTTTTTTTTTAGAAAAAAATTTCAAAGAAGAATCTACTGAAATCTTTGTATTGGAACAGTTTGTTTTAATGGCTGGCATAGAGCAATATAATTTTTTTAATCTATTAAAATTTTGCAAGTCAAGTAAAATTTCCCAAAAAGTAAGATCATATTCCTTAAAATATCCAGTAACTGAAGAAATGCGCCAAAAACCTCCAGCCAAAAAAGGCGTTAAAGATTTCCTGGCTTCAATAAAAAACCCTGTAGAAGAAAATCCACAACCAAAAGAAGCTCCAAAACTGCCTATCCCCAGCAACCCACTTTTAGCAGTAATTTCATTTTTAGAATCACTAACTTATAGTTACGATGACGGTCGAATTCTACTGACAAAAAGTACTGAAAAAGTCCATTGCAAATTACAATTTTTGTTACTCAATCCTACATCCAATTTCAAAGAAATCATTGAGGAAGCTAGATCAGTAAGTAATTTTGTTTTGTAGATTTTTTTTTATCCTTAATTGTTTTTTTGAGGTAATCGTTGCGGGAGGCACGATGAAACCAAACCAAGAATTTCGAGACAGGCTTTTCATAGGAGCCGGTGCAAGCAAAGACAGAATCGTGGAATTTTCTTGCGATCATATAATTCCTGCTGAAAATATTTTGCCTTTTGCTATCACTAAAGGCCTGGAGCAAGAAAAACTGTTGTTTAATTTTAGCAACAGGATGTCTATGGTAAATATGAGTTTTAAATATATTATTTAATAAAATTGTTGTTTTCAAGGGTGGCCCATTGCAAGACATAATTAAAAAAGCTTGTGAAACAGTCAAAGGTGGTATAGTAGTATTTTTTCCGTCATACCATTACGAAAATTGGGTTTACGAGCAAATTAAGTCTGTTAATTTGGGCAGGGCGCTGTTCCGCGAGCCCCAAAAATCTGGATCTGTGGATGAAGTATTGGAAAAATACGCGTCTACTATAAGAAAATTCAAACAGAACGCCATTATGTTTAGTGTTGTCGGTAAAAGATTATTTAGGCAATTAGTTTACACAAATTGAAATGTTTTTTTAAAGGTGGCAAATTGAGTGAAGGGCTTAATTTCAGTGACGATCTTGGACGTTGTGTTATAGTTGTTGGATTACCTTATGCTAATATTATGGCGGCCGATTTAAAGGAGAAAATGGCATTTTTGGACAAAAACGAGGTACTTAGATTTTGAATGTATAAACTTAAAAAATGTTGGATATTTTCTAGGGTCAAGGTGCCGGTCAGCAATTCTATGAAAACCTATGCATGAAATCGGTGAACCAATGCATTGGCAGAGCTGTAAGGCACAAAAACGACTATGCAACTGTTCTTTTGCTGGATGAACGTTATGGGAAATTGAATATTTGTAATGCCTTACCTGGCTGGATTAGGAGATCTTTAAAAGTAGCTGGAAGTGGAGAAGCTTTCAGTATGATTGATAAGGTAAAAAATTGACAATTTTATTTTTTGCTTATTTTTTTATTTTTTGCTTTTAGTTCTTTGCAGCTAAAAACAATTAATTTCATGGATCACTAGGTATAATTTCGATACGTTTTCTTTTCGAATAATGTACAATTTTATTTTCTAAGCTCTCTGTAAAAAAAAAAAAAGACAAATTAGATTTTTATTTTTTCTATAAACAATTTCTTACCGCATTTTTGTCTTTTCATTACGGGCACGTAGTTTTTGGCTTTTACCCCTGCAACTAAATGTTCGCTCAGACATTTAGTTTCATCCTTATTGTCCAATTTACCATATAAATTATTTATTATATCCTTAATCATTACACTCCTGGAAAATACTTTTTACCACTACAAATAAAAAACAAATCAATTTGAATAGTTCTTACTTTACATTTGAAAAAGTCCATATCTGCTGCATAGTATCAATTACACATTTTAAGTTTTCTTGGCTCACATGCCATCGAGCATTTTCATATTCACAATAAAATAAATTCAAAGGAATCTCGTTAGCCATATTATAATCTGGTTTCCTGGGATTTGTTTCTACATTCAACAGTTCGTCTATTATGCTGGGCTCTTCCTTGTCAGAGCCAATCAAAAACAAAATGCCCATCATGTAACGGATTTGGTGCCAAATAAATGCATTGCCTTTTATTATTGCTACATACATTGAGCTGCTTAAATCTTCTATTTGGAAATTTTTGATGTTTCTTGTAAATTGGACTACGCCGTTGCCAACGTCCATTTTGGCAAAATTCCTAAAGTCGTGACTGCCAATGAATTTTCTACAAGCCTCTTGCATTTTCTTAAAATAAGTAATGAGTTTTTTTATATTTTATAGTAAATATTTGTGTCCTATTGGCCTTTGTTGTCTCGATAAATGGAGACTTTTAACTAAACATTTGCAGAGAATTTAATTGGCTTCAATTTAAGCCTGATAACATAAAGATCAGATTGAAATCAAAAAAGTTGTGAGGCAAAATATGTGTCGACGTTTTATTTAGTTATCATTATTAATAATATTAAATACAATATATAAATCATAATACTCCCTTCTGTCCCTAAGAAAATTCAATTGTAAATAGTTATATGTATCTTCCACTGATAAAAAAATACCCTTTCTACTCAGTTTGTAACCTACAAATTTAATAAATTTACACTGAATGCTCTCAAGGCGATCTATGTATACATATATTAAAAAATGGGTACCAAATTATGTTAGAAAACTCAAGGATAGATCTCACAAAGCTTATAAAAAGAATTTTCAGTATTTTTACATTTTGTAAAATCCTGACAAGATCTCCTAACAAATCCCAACATTCTACCTGCACGGGCTATGACTTTTTCATAGTGCTCAGAAAATGTTAATTTTGTGTCGAGATACCTTCCCAGGTTTCACAACAGATACCTGCTTTAACAGACTACCACCTAACATGTAATTCATAGGGAAGTTATTTTTAAGCCTACTAAACCGCAAAGCTTGACACTTTTCTATGTTTAGAGTCATGCTATTTAGAGTACACCATCTATTTATCTTGTTTAGATCAGATCATTCTGGATTTCAATTTGATCTTTTTGTGACAGAATCTTGGCGTATATTTTTAGGTCATCAGCAAATAATAAGTATGTAACTTCCAGGAAAGAACAAATGTCATTTATAAAGATATTAAACAAAGGAGGACCCTTATTGGAACCCCTGATGTGATAAAAAATATATTAGACAGATAACCTTCCATCCTTACTTGTTGATGCCACATCCGGCTTCTGAATGTACCTGTAATGTAACTGAAAATCTGTCTAATCTTTCATGTGACTATTTTTACTTTAATTTTGAGAACGCTGATTATTGTGAGCTGAATTTTTGTCTTTCTTGTGTTGACTGGAGTTTCATTTCTGAGTGTACCGACATCAATGTGGCAGTATCGCAATTTTATGACATTATCTATAACATCATTGAATCATTTACGCCTCTTTCAAGGTTCAAAAGTCCAAAATTTCCAAAATGGATGTCTGCAAATCTTAAATATTTGATAATACGAAAGAAGGAAGCTCACAAAAAATATAAAGCCTCACAGTCACAAGATGATTATAATTTTCCAGTCTTCTTACAGGAACAACATTCAAAGTTTGAAAAACCAGTTACATAACAAACGAAATTTTTGAAATTATATAAATTCAAAAAAAGGCAATGCAGAATACCCAAAGTGCGTGTTCTTTAATGGGCGGACTCCTTGTCGGATTTTGGCTTTATTAGTGAAAAGTTTGTAAACTTAAATTGTTTAAAGATGTCAATTATTGATGTTTTTAATTAAATTAATGTTGTAAAGGAAAATTTGGGAATGGGTCCTGATGGAATTCCAGTACTCTTTTTGAAAAATTGTAAATATGTCTTAGAAATTTTGTGTAACATTTTTAACTTATCGCTTGAAACTGGAGTTTTCCCTGAGGTTTGGAAGAAATCATAGGTCACACCTGTTTTTAAGGATGGGAACAGAGCAGATGTTAAAAACTACCGCCCTATTTGTAAGATCTATTTAATGGCAAAAAATAATTGAGTCATTGGTAGCTGGTAAAATAACACCTCTTTTTAGAAATTTCATTATAAAGAAACAGCATGGGTTCACTAGGAGGAGGTCCACGGTGTCAAATCTTTTGGTGTATGAGCAAATCCTGTTGGGTGCATTCGAGAATGGGTGCCAAGTGGATGCCTTCTATACTGACTTCTCGAAGGCATTTGACAGGGTGGATCAGAATATCATACTGACAAATCTGAGGGCATTAGGATTTGATGGCTCTTTTTTTCAGTGGCTTGAAAGTAATTTGAAGGGCAGATGGCAGTCTATTAAAATAAAAAACTATATATCGTCAGAAATCTTAGTGACATCTGGTGTTCCTCAGGAAGGACATCTATTCTGTCCACTTTCTTCTTCAATGTATTTGTGAATGATATTAAGACAGTCCTTGATGACTGCCTGTTTCTTGCTTTTCCGGATGATTTCAAATTATTCAAAATTATTAATAATCATGGTGAGTGTCAGTCTCTGCAAAATCAGTTAAACATTTTCTCCGATTGGTGCCAAAATAATAACTTGAGCCTAAATATTGTTAAGTGTAATGTTGTCACTTTCTGCAGGTTGAAGCAGCCAATATTATTTGACTACTTTATTGATTCTGTAGGGTTAGAAAAAAAGAATCTGGTGAAAGATCTAGGAGTGTGGCTAGAAAGTGATCTTACTTTTTCTTATCACATTAATAATGTGACCATAATGTGAATAATAGAGCCATGAGGTTGTTGGGATTTGTTTTTCGGTCGTTGAAGGAGGTTGAAAATATTTTTGTTTTGAGGAATGTTTTATGTGCGTTGGTTAGATCTGTTCTGGAATATGCCAGATGCGCATCAGGTTATAACGTTTCCTACAAGATACAGAAATAATGAAATTTCACTAGATTTATTGCTGGTTAATGACAATGCAACACCCACCAATAGGGTGTAGTAATCATGTAGTGATAACAGCTAAAACACAGATTCAACTGGCTTCTAAGCCAACTAAAAAGATCTATAAAAGAAATTGCTGGAAGGCAAATTATGATGAAATTAACAAATACATAACTGAGCAGTTAGATGCCTGCACATGCCAAATTGATGCAACATAGCTAATAAGTTTGGTGACAAAAACCACTGAGCTACATGTACCCTTAAACCCTAAGCATGTCAATTCAAATAAACCTTGGCTCAACTGGGGATAAGTATAAAAGGACAAAAATAAACACAGTGATCATTACAAATAACAAAATAATATAACGAAGCAGATCTTGAACCAGGCTAGGCAAGAATATGAACAGAATTTTTTGCAAGCTCCTGTTAAGAAATTTTACTCCCATATAAAACATTCCCCAAACTCCCGTCTCCAAAATTTTGCACTCAGAAACACTAACACGAATCAGATTACTTACGATGAGACTGAAATTGCCAATTGCTTTGCAGACCAGTTTTAAACAGTATTCACTTAAGAAGATAACAACCTACCAACTCTTTCACCTGAACTACGCATCGCTGCAGAGATAAGTAATATAGAATTCACCCCAGAAAAAGTACAAATGGCCGTTTTCTCTCTAAAGGCGGAGTCTAGTCCTAGTCCTGATGAAATTCCATCCCTCTTTCTGAAAAACCACTCCAAATCGCTCTCAAATCCTATAGCCACTATTCTAAACTCTATAATGAAAAGAGCTCCTATTCCAGAAATATGGAAAACCTCAATAGTTGTACCAATCTTTAAAAAGGGGGACAAACTGGAACCATCAAATTACAGACCAATAAGTCTCACCATCAGCGCACTCTGCAAATGCATGGAGAAAATCCTAGTGAATGAGCTAACATCTTTTTTACTACAACAGCAAGTAAGTAATACCTGATTCTCCAGCATGGGTTTTTACTAGGAAGATCAACATTCAACAACCTGCTGGAAAGATTCAACAAATGGACTCAAATGGATGACAGTAATACACCATTTGACATTGTCTACATAGATTTTGAAAAAGCTTTTGATAAGATTCCTTTCAGGAGACTCCTGGTAAAATCGGAGCACAATGGAATACAGGGCAATGTGCAAAGAGGTATAGCGAACTTATCCAAGGGAGGACCTTTCAAGTAAAAATAGGCAATATTCTTTCTAGTAGTCGCGAGGTGCATAGCGGAGTACCACAGGGCTCGGTTATTGTAACTTTGCTGTTTATATTATATCGGGTCTTCAAGAAAAAAACCAATCGAAGATTGCTTTGCTTATGAAAACGTACGTCGCATTACTGTTTCTTTATTGGTCAGGATTTTTGACATGACATTTTGACATTAGGCTCATTGACAAAATCAAAGAAAAATATTGCTAAGACATACGTTCAAAAAACCATAGCAATCTTTGATTGGTTTTTTTTTTGAAGACCCCATACATAAGCGACCTTCCTGTATCTCGCGTGTTACACCTCATCCTTTGCGACAAATTCTACGTACAGAGCAAGTGACTTAATACCTACAAATGCAGAGCAATCTTGACAAAATTAAACAAGGATTATAACATGGCAGATGCCATTAAACGAATCTAGGTGCACTTTACTTAGAAATAACTAATCCCAATCATAGGTACACTATAGGAAACACTGAGGTGACTCCAGTCGAAAAACAGAAAGATCTAGGCTTAATAGTTACAAAATACCTCAAATGAGAGTGACACATGTCAACTGTCAAAAAAAGTGAACACCGTGATTAACCTTATCGTCGGCATCATATGAAAATTGCCTAAATTCAATTTTTTTCAAAATTGAGATTTTAGTGCAGACTTGTGAGAAACTCAATAATCTATGATGCAACAAAATATTTGGGCGATAAATTATTAGATGGAGCCACAGAACCATGAAAAGAAATTTGCATAAGTCCATAGGATAGAGTGAAACTTGCGTAAGTCCAGTCCCTTTTGTGTATTCTTGCCGGTGATTTTTCTCATGTAGCTTTTCTTGACAAAGGTTTTTTTGCGCCTCCTGTAAAATTTACCTTTTTGGACTTAGGCAATTTTCATATGATGCCGACGTTATAAGAAAGTCGTTTAAAGTGTGATATGCTACAAGCTTTACAAGACATACATAAGACCAAAACTAGAATATATGCAAAGTATATGGAGTCCTTATTATGTTAAAGATATAGATCATCTAGAGAAAGTTCAGCGAATGGTAACTAAGATCCGAGCTAAGATTCCTTCAGAGCTCAACGATTTTTCTTATCAAGAACATTTACAGCGCCTTAATCTTATAACCCTCTACCAAAGAAGACAGCGAGGAGATCTGATTGAGACATAAAATAACAGCGCATGGTAACTAAAATCCCTTCAGAGCTCAACAATCTCTGTTATCAAGAACGTTTACAGCACCTTAATCTCACCACCCCCTACCAAAGAAGACATTTATGGATATTTGATTGAGACTTACAAAGTAACTAGTGGTCATTACAAGTTCAATATCATTAACATCTTTATTCCTGCCAATAATACGCACCTGAGAGGGCATAACCAGAAATTAAACAAGGAAAAATGTTCCAAATTATTAAAACGCAATTTCTTAACGAACAAGGTTGTGTATTTGTGGAGTAACCTGGAGTCAAGACACGGTAAATGCCACTAGTGTTAACTCCTCCAAAAATCGTGTAGACAGAGATATAAGTGAAAACTGAGGTGAAAATAATAACCAGTTTATCCACTATCCCCAGTAAACCACTGACAAAATAATTCCATATCTGAGATACAATGGATTTGACAATTAATTATGGAACTAAAATTGTGAACTGATATAAAAACCAATCAATAGACTCATCAGCTTTGTCGCCTTCTATTGTAAAATAATAATAATAATAATAATCTTTGTTATTCACAATATTGTGACTCTTGTAATAATTACCTGAATATTCAATTTTCCTTTGGGAAAATAATACTTATAAGTCCTACAAGTGCAATCGAATCTTGCACTGAAATCTTCCTCGACAGCAGCCCAAGCAACACACTGAATATTATTGGGTAAAACCCTATTCAAGACTTTACAATAATCAATTTCATTGTCCGCATTGTCAGATACGGATCTAACATTAATGGAAATTACTTGTCCGAAAGAGCTGACACCTTTATCAGTTCTGCCGCATCTGTGATAATTTGAGGAACTTCTGTCTTTTATCAGACAAGTCCTCCTGAGAGCTTGAAACAGATGGTGTTCCACTGTATTTGTGGTGTCTTCTTGGACCGCGAATCCCCTATAATCCCAGCCTAAATAAAAGACGTGTAAAAGAATGTGGCGAAATTTACATCTGAAATCAACAAGATTTTTGGATTTGTGTGCGATGGTACGAAATTGTGTTCTTACTTGGAAAAATCAAAGTCGCTCATTTTGGCAATTGATGTAGTGTGGTTTGATTTGTTAATGATATTTTGGAGTTGGACATTGTGGGCTTCAAGAGATTGTATCATTGAGATTAGTTCCTGTAGAAATTTACTGATAATTGGAGAAAATTTAGTTCGCAAATTTACCTCTTTGGATAGGTTTTCTAGTTCTTCTTTAGCAGTTTTCCTGTTCGGTTTTTTAATTTTAACTGTTTGATTCATTATCTATTTCCTTTGATGTGGGTATATTTGAGAATTAGTGTGTCTACTATGAATTTGAATACAAATAATAGAAATCTTGGATTGGATATTAAAATTACATCTCAGCTGAAATAAAAAGCATGCATGAACCATGGCATGAACCGGCTGTTTTCCACTCTGAATTCAGTGCAGCGCTTATCGATACGATATATACATCGATGGTGATGCATATCGATACGAAATTATCATATCGATAAGGAGTTACAACTTTCCATAAATCCAAGGGTAGAGAAACGATACATGTATCGAAAATAACAATTTTCCCATATTAATATCGATATGAAAAAGAAGTTCACTTTGAAAGAATATCGTATCGATACCTACGAATATCGATAAGACAGGCAAAGCAACTCAGTTTTACTTAAGACGTCTTTTAGCCTTACCTTTTTGATTTTTTACTTAACATTAATCTAAAAGACAAAAAAAAATATAATATGATTAACTTTTTATTTAAAATTCAAACATTCTTTTACATAAAAATATTCCAAATATAAAATATAATTTTTAAAGAAAAACAAGCAAAAATCCAATCTACTTAAGCTTCTTCTTGGGGCGCAAGTTGTTGGTGTGTCCGCATTTAGTTTTGCGGCAGTTTGTGGCTCTCGGGTGCAACCTGGCGTAGCACTTGCGGCAAATCATTTTCGCAGTTGTAATTTTGGGCCAAGAGCCGTAGAGAAGGTTCGATGATGCCTCCCCTAAGTCTCAGCACCAAGTGAAGGGTCGACTCGTTCTGGATGTTGTAGTCGGAAAGGATGCGACCGTTTTCCAGCTAGAGTTAACGATAGTGATAAAAAAATAATATCGATAGTTTCGATAATCATGGTGGTGAATATCGAAACTATCGATAAGTTAGCGATAGTTTGAAACAAACAAAAAATTATTGATATTGTTTTATTTTTTTTTATGGAAAGAAACATTATCGTATCAAACCTTGATATTAGAAACTACCTAAAACCAAAAAGAAACATAAACTCAAATTGGTAACTTCAAATAAATAACCTATAGCTCTCTTCCGACCGACATGAGAACCGTTCTAGAACGGTTATTTCCAGTCGATCAATTCATTTGTCAAGTAATTCAAACGTTCAACTTATTGAAAAATAGGTGGGCAACTGGATATTTGTTCTGGAACGGTTCGAATGTCGATTCTATCGTAGATTACACCGGGTGCAGTGGTGCAGTCAATCCTGTGTACCGTGCACCCCAAACCCCGTTGACCTAACCTATTTTACATTCAAAATTGGAGCAGCGAACTCTATAAATACTTCCTATTAAATTTAACTTAGTAATAGTTCATTGAATTCGATTATCTCAATACTATCGATAGTTGCACTTTGAACTATCGATAGTATTCGATAGTTTTATCACAAATTAAAAAATAGTTAAATGCATAGATTTTAATGGTAATTGCCATTGAATAATTATGAACAATCTCTTAACAAATGGCTTTAATTAAATACATTTTCCTCACAAGAAAAAAAAATCCATGCTGTATAAATGAATTTAGGATAGGTTTTTATGAAGAAAAGTTAATTTATCCACATTTGATAGTTTTGGCCGCTTTCTTTCATTCACCGATGGATCCATCGACGATGTTGTGGACTATGTATGACGTCACAAGTCACAATTTCTCAACTCGCTCACATTAACAGTGACAGTTGGTGCAAATTCGGCTGGGTTCCGTTGCTAACCTTGGTTACGGTTAGACGTTCCGTAATGTCTGGTTCCTGAAAAACCGGTCTATACGGAACGCGGTTGGTTATGTCAAACGTGTCACCAAGGCAACCGGCGGCGATTCTGCGATTGGAAAAGCGTTCCGTATGAAACCGAAATTTTCAGCAACCACTTGTCAATCGTTGTCAACCGCTGTCAACCGACGTTGTACCAACCGGTTAACCAGGTTAGGCAACGGAACCCACCCTTTTCATGAAGTTTTTGTGAAGTTAGCCGATATGGCAAGATGTCACCAACGTCAAGATGGTTGTCAACGGCGGCACAATTAAATTAAGGTTGTGGTCCGAATATAACCGGGTTGTGGTTTCGCGTTCCAAAAGTAATCAAATTACTCTGGTTCCTGGAAAAGTGGTTACTTTTGGACCTTGGTTTCCTGAAATCTGGTTAATCACATGTCAAAATAGTTACCGGCCATCGGATGTCGGTTCTGTTGGTTTCATCTGTAATTTCTGTCAATTATTTTTTATTCCATATTTGCGTTTCCCAAGTAACCGGAATGTTCATTAACCATCTGTCACCCGATTCGGTTAGTTTGGTGAAAGTTTGGTTATATTCGGACCATACCCAAAGCTGTTTTCTCGCGGTGGAACTGGTTCGATCCGGTTCAATTAGGTTCGAACCTGTACATTCTTGCGTTGAACCAGTGACGTCACATTGAACCTGATTCAAAAAAGTTCGAACCAGACTCATGGCTTGTTTTCCGTTGACATAAGACTGTGGTTCAAACCCATTCAAACCTTCCATTTTCTCGCGCTCACAAATAGTGACGTCATCTACAAATTGGTTTAAACCGTAGTTCGAACCATTCGCCCCGCGAGAAAACGCCTCAAATCTTTCAAAGTGTACATACTGTAGTACAGGGTTCATAATTAGCTTATTAATTATTTAAGTAAGATTTTATGTCCAATAATAATTAAAACTTACTATTCTTATAACAACACGCTGTAGCGATATTGTTTGTTAATGTGGGATTTCTATTTTCTACCGGATGTCTCATTTGAAAATCAAAAGCTGCGGCGTTTTCTCGCATCTCAAATATTTCAATAGCTATTTACCTAACAAGTGCGGAAAATGAATTTTTCTGCACGCGGGTGCCGTTCACCGAACGACGCGTAGCGGAGTTCGGTAATGTAAAATTTTTATTTATTTTTTTTTGACATATCAGTGCGGTAAAATTTTTTCCGCACTGACAGCCGTGCGGAAAAACTTTTTCCGCACTGATGTGTCAAAAAAAAAGTTTTACCGCACCGTGCGGGAAAACTCATTTTCCGCACGCATATCAGTACGGAAAATCGATTTTTCCGCACGGCTCTGTAGGAAATAGCTATTTATACAATAAGTTACGAAATGAGCGTCTTTTAGGCACGCGACGTGAAAATTGTCCAACGAGGCAAAGCCGAGTTGGACAACACGTCGAGTGACTAAAAGACACCGTTTCGTAACGTATTGTATACAAGATTTTTTCTACTGGCATTTTATAATAAAAAAACACAATTTTATTTCATGTGAATAAGTCGATTACACCCAAAATCTTTGTTACCTGCTTTTACTTGACACCTGACACTTTTCATGCGATTTTCTTTTCAAAATTCGACATCAATAATTAAAATCCTAGAAAGTAGGTAATAACACAAAGTTCTGTTTTGAGTAACCCAAACGTTCAATTCAGTAATTCCATTTTCAATATTCATAATAAATACAAAACAAAATTCAAATATGTGTTTAGTGTGTTTTTTGTTTCTGAATAATGAATGACACTTTTAGGCACTAGTGCTTAAAAATTACTTTTACGCACTCATAAGTCACTTTTACGCATTCAAAAGTCACTTTTACGCACTGAGTGCCTAAAAGTAACTTTCACGCACTCAGTGCCTAAAAGAATGTCGTTTCAAAACTGAAATGACAATCGAAAAGTTGCTATTATGAAACGTCAGTAGAAAAAATATTTTTCAAGACTGGTTCAAGTAATGTCACCATGACGTCATAATTTCTCGGCGCGAGAAAATGGTTTGAAAACGTGGATTGGATTGAATTTCGAAACGGTTTGAACCAATTTTGACGTGACGTCATGGGTTTGTCGCGAGGTTGTACTGTTTCAAATCAGTTTTGAACCAGTTTCAAAAAAGTTGACGCGAGAAAACGCTGTTCAAGAAAATTGGACTGTAAGGCAAATCGATGTGCCTACAGGGTTTTTAAATGGTTCATTGGACAGTGACGTTTATATTAAAAAACCGGAAGGACTTAAGTGTGACTGAAAATACCTAAAACTAAATCGTGCTCTATATGGTTTACATATTGTCAACAACCTACTTAAGTAAATACCACTTTATATAATATATCAATTTTGCTAAAGTGTGTCGACGAGTCAGCATTAATTTGGTATAAATACCGCGCTGAAATCCATTGACGGCAGACAAAGTACCTCAAATGGGAAAAGGCCCTCTAGCTAAGTCTCCTCCCAGTGCAGACTGTCTTTAATGGGAAACGCCCTTCTGGAAGTATTAAACGCAGCACACTAGGTCCAGTGCAAACCACCTTTAATGGGAACCGCCCTTCTGGACCTGTCTCAAACCAGACCCTTCGGCTTCGGGGAGTATTGAACACAGTATACTAGATCCATAGTGCAAACTACCTTTATTGGAAAATGCCTTTCTGGACCTGTCTCAAATCCAGCTTCAGTGTTAAGTCACGCCAAGTGTACAGAGTGTATTTATTACAGTGTGGCCTATAAGTAGTACGTTCTCCGTAGAAGAGACGTCATGATACTATTTCTACGGTAATTTTATTATTATTCAATACATAGTTTCTCTCTACCTGAACCCCACCTACGTCCCAAGGTCATGCTCCTGTTGTGACGTCCCAGGACCGAACGAATAGAGGTTATGACAATATAATGCATAATGCACCAAAAAGTTTGAATATTAAGTTTACGGAAGTAATGTTATGACTATTACTTATACATCAAAGCTGACGTGTATTTAGTGCTTTTTGTACTTTAGTTACCCGACCTGATATAGAAGTTGAGAAACTATAGTATAGAACTTATAACGAGTTCAAAGTTGAAAACTTGACAGAAGTGACCTCACTCCTAGGAATGGAAATAACAAAAACCGATGATGAACTAAAAATTACACAAAGATGACTTTAAGTATTACTAAAAGAGTTTGATATGATAGAATGTCGTTCCACAGTCGGTAACACCAATGGAACAGAATTTTGAATGAAAGATGATGAGTAAGTCTTAGAAAATGTTCCTTACAGAAGGCTGATATGTAGCTTAATGTACCTGTCTATAGTCAGTAGACCAGATATTGCTTACAGTTAGGGAAAACTGGAGAAAGAATTTCACGTTATACGTTACCTTAGTGGAGAAAAGGTCACAGTGGTTTACAGGGAATTTGTGGTGCAAACTGGGGTGGTGATAAGCTAACTAGGAAGAGTATTAGTGGATTTGATAGTTTTCATTGTGGAAATGTGATTGCATTACTCTCCAGGGACTTTTATTCTCGAAACCGAGGAACAGTGTTCTCATGAGAACGATTGCTCTGTCATTGTCAGTGGTATGGAAATATGCATATGTAGGACGAAGACAGAACCTTCGTTCTCATGAGAACGCTGCTCCCTTGTTTGAAGAATAAAGTTTCAGGAAGCAAAACTGTGTTGCTCTGTCGTCAATGGAGGCAGAGTATGTGGCTGCAGGTGTGGCAGCATAAAAGCTGATAACTTGAAGGGCCTATGATTGGTTAGTCAGTTATTCAAAAAAATTTCAAGTTGTTAGTTTTTTGCAATGGTGTTTTGTAATACAATCTTTCGTAATCGAAGTTGTTTCAAAAGCAGAGAAGCCCTCAAATCTTATTCGGTATAGCATGAATCGCGTTTAAAGCGCAATGCCGGTACGTATAAATACGGCGAATGCGGCTTATCCTCCGCGAGCAAAAAGACGAAAGACCCGGAGTGCGTTCAAATACGTCAATGCTAATGCCAAAACCTACTTTTCCCCTTCTACCGGCAATGCCAAATCTGGTGTGAATTTGCTGGAACGCCAAATACCGTTTCTCAATTAGGCAATCCAAACCACGTGACATTCAAGATGGCGTGGCGTCCACACATAGACGAAAACATACAAAAAAATATCTAGTTTCTGCCCAACTCAATAGTTTACGTACCTACAAATATTTTATTGAATTATCAAAATCAAAGCTGCAAGCAAAACTCGAAGCAAAATAATTGAAATATGCATGAAAACACATATTCAAAACTAACTTGCCGGCCGCCACGCCATATTGAATTTGGTCTCATCCAATCAAAATTCGTATAACCATTTCTAGACTCAGTCAAAAGCACCTCCAAAAGTTACTTTACCGCGGCCGATTCTGAACGTGTGAAGCGAACCATTTCTGGCACGCTGGAGCCGAACTTGAACGCAATATGCCAATTCTGGCTTGGCTTTAGCCGTTTTTGAACGCAGCCCTGGTGATCAGTTCTTTTACTTCAAATGCAAGCTCACGTGAGCTTCCGTCAATATTGTCATCTTTTAACTCGTGGAGGATCGACCGAACTCGCCTAGTATAGCTGCTTTCTTTTCAGAGGCTTGGGCGCCCTAGGCCGCTCTGGATCACGGTTTTGAAATGTGCCAATCGTTCTTTTTAATCGGAGCGTCAAGCACCGGTGTCGTCTATCCCCACCGCTAGCGCCTCAGCGAAGCGTCGAAGCTTTACAGCTCCAGTGTGCGAACTGTCACTAGTGCCAGATAATTATAATATGTCCCTTAATTACCATTATTTTCGAAGCGTGCGCTGACGTGCCCCAGGGCATCAAGCCCGGGGTTTCAAAGCTCTGAAAAGAAAGCACCTTATGAATTGCGTTTTAAGCGCGATTCATACGTACCGGTACGGTCAAGTTACCGTACCGTTTATGACACGTCAAATTTAGACTCCTCAAGCCCATTTTTTACAATGGACGTAACGTAAACATGAAAACGTCACATAAGTCCTAAGCATGCGCACATCAGATTTATTTGCGTGAAATGAGTCACCGAAGACGCAACGTAAGAGATAACCAACTTTTTAGGACTTATGTTACGTCTTTACGGTTACGTTACGTCCATTGTAAAATTTCAAACGTATCAATATCTGTATCGAACTGCGCATGCGCAGAAGTTTCGTTACGTTGCGTTGTCCGTATCGTTACGGACCTAGCCTCGTATCCGTACACTATTAATAGATCTTGCTCAGTTATCACTAAAATAACTTTAACAACATAAACCAAGTACTTATAGATAAAAAGGAAACCTACAAACACAGCTGCAAAATCAATGTAACACTTTTTGAGATTAGAAAACGTTTCATCCAAGAATACGATCATTTACGTAATAATGTATGGCCAAGCTTAAAAGGACTTTCAGGTAGGTCACAACATATTTAAGTGTACAACAGCAAAACATATTTCCTTAAATATCCCAGATTAATCGGGATCCCCCTAAGATTTGTAGATCTCCATAATTTTTTCAGGGATTTAAAAGAATATCAGCACAACCAGAACACAGCTCCCATGGTCTTCTCCTTAAAACAACATGTGCAGTTGCTCTTGATCTACGTTTACGGATGCGGATACGGATACGTAGAAAAATTTGGGGTTTGCTCAGAGTGTCTAATCTCGAGAAATCCTGACGACTTGGATGGTAGCATTTCGGTGCCCTGAAGGTGTAGTGTGAGTTTCGTCAAAAAGTTGCAAGTTGTGTTACCCGATATGTATCAATTTTATCTTAAATAAAATAATCCGTCTCTGTCTGTTTTTGACTTTGAAGCTTGAAGCCAGAGAAATATTAAAGTTTTTCCCTGAAAAAGGATTATCTGAACAACGCAAAACAAATATATAGAGCAAAATAGTGTTTATTAAAAAAAATGGCACGTCAACGTGATCGTTTTCATTGGCTTCCCTTAAAGAAAGTAAAGCGGCTTATAATTTAGTATACATATATTTTTTAGTAGAATACGATGATTATTTGACATTATTTCAAACATTTGCTGCGCAATTTTTTAATTACTCCAAAGGTCGGGTAGGGCATTTTTGAAGTGAAATTTCTAGGGTATGTTCGTTTCATGGGAGTTGCTATATGTAACGAAAACGTGCAACGCTAGACATCCCCTCCTACTCTCATGAAGTCGAGCTAGTAATAGGAATCACCTTTTAATCAAAATAAAACATTTTTTAAAAGAAAAATCTGTCCCTTTCAGTAATTTGCAGCTTTGCGGTTAGATGGCGCCAGGCGCCAGTTCAATGAGGAATTTATTTCTCTTTCAAATAAAGCGTCATGTTAATTATTAAGCCAATAATTGAAACCAGGATTCAGGATTTAGTTAAATATTTTATTTATATTTATTCTACAATAAAAATAATATAATTTTTTTCTTGTTGACTTTGCGCATGTCCGAGTTTCAATCATAGTAGGCTTTTGTAAATCCCCGAACTGGCGGCCATCTTGTCGAAAATTTCATATCGTGTGTGCCAGGCGTCGATTTTTCGCAAAATTTTGTAGTTTTTCGGGCGAATTTAAGGCAAAAAGTGTTCGTCGGGCTGTTTTGCTTCCGATTGACACACTTGACACAGGACAATGACAAAAATTATGTATTTTTGTACCAATAAACATTGTGTGCTGCTGGAGCCATAATGTAAATCGCAAGGTAGGCACTTTTTTGGTACCATTAGGTATTTCATTGAAAACAATAATTAGTTTCGCATGAATGACCTATTTTATTTATGCCAGTATTTAGTTAATTATTTTGGTACCTATATTTTATTCTGCAATAGAAACTATACGTATTATTCTAATTCTTGTTGGCTTGCTTTGCACATGTCTGAGCTTCAATCCAAGTAGGCTTTGTAAATCCCCCAACTGACAGCCATCTTGTCGAAACAAGGCCATGTCGATGTGTGCCAGGCGTCGCGTTTCTCCTCGCTTTTTCGCAAATTTTCGTATAGTGCTGCCAAATTTCAAGTTTTTTATTTCAATTTTCTTGTCTCAACTGAGTTGTTTCCATTCCAGCAGCCTCTTAAATATTTGTCGTCTTCTAAATTTTTCTAATAACTGAAAAGGATCAAAGGGCAAGCAGTTCTGTGCAACTTGCGAATGGTCCAACAACAATTCCAGACCAGTCCTATTTTAGCGTATGCGTCAAAAATAGTCCGCAAACAGTACCTACTTAGTTCTGGAATCGTTTGAGAACAGTTTCGATTTCAACCAAATTTCCAGTTCTAGAATAAAAATTGCAAAAAAAATAATTTTGGAAATTGAAGAAGAATGTCTTCCTCTTTTAGGGCTAAACCAAAGTTTGCTAAACCCTACGCTTGTGGATCGTCCGCGCTGGCGCGAATTCCCCCAACGGTGGGAGGCCCACTGGGGGGACCTTCTTCGCCATGCTCCCCAACCAAACAAAAAGCCGACTTTAGACGATTGTACAATATCAGATCGAGCGGTTCGCAAGTTGAACTGGCGATCTGCGCGGTCGGGTGCGTGCCTCCAGTTTTTTTTTCACAGGAAAAGTGACAGTTTTTTTTTGGCTTTTTTCACGTAAAATTTAAATTGAAAAAACAAAAAGGAAATATTCGCTTTTCAGTGTGATATGCTGACAAAGAGACGTGCTATCGTTTTGATAAAATCGAATTTATTATTTGATAATAATCATTCGAATTGTAGTAGTGGTAAAATAGATTATTTGAAATTTAAATTTATCGAGTATTTTTGAAACAAAGGTGAGTGCAGTTTATTACAAATAATTCTTTATTTTATGTGGAAATTGTTTAGATTTAATAGCTTCTACAAAACGTTTCATTTACATAGTAATGTCATAATGTGTAATGTGTATACCATCTACTTACACATTGATAGTGCTCTGTTAAAAATCAAATTTCTGTTTTTTTTTTTTTTATTTGAGAGTTTTGGACAAAGCATACCACGGTATAATTTTTTTTTCGAACAAATTGATCAAGGTTGTTAATGTTGTTATTGAAAATATCTCGAATACTTAATTGGATTTTTTAGTATGTTATGTCTCCAAATACTTAGCCATCTTTTCAAAATTTGCCTCATAATAGTTTTTGGAGGGAAAAAATTACACTAGAAGAACAATGGAATTTTTCAAAAAAAAATCAGAACTTTTTTTCAATTTTTCTTTAATTACTCAATAATTTCTTCAAATAGATTGATTATGCCTCAACAAAAATTCTGAAATTTCATAGAGGGTGGTCCATTTAACTTGAGACAGTCTAATAGTCTAATATCTTGAAAACCGCGCGTTTTTGGAAAAAAAGAAATTCAAATAAAAGTTATATGGCGTCATGGGGTGGAAAGAAAATGGTAACACGGATTTTTGACTTTGACAACCTTCGTAAGGTGATTTCAAAGACATATTAGTTAAATGGACCACCCTGTATGGCGCAGGTTCAATATTGTCCCGGTTAAATAATTATTCAATTATTTTTGCCTCTAATCAATATAATATGGATTTTCAATAATGTTAAATTTCTGATGCAAGGTCAGACGTATTAGTTAGCACCCATAATTTAACGGTCTTTATCGCCAAAATCCTATTAAAACCACAGGATCAAGTGCCAATTAAAATTTGTATAATGTATAGAGGTTCTCGACTCTATATAGGAGGTCTTTCACTTTGCGAACGTGCATGTTTTTACAATAAAAATAAAAAAGCAACTGCGAATTCGAAAGAATTAGTGCTAGCGGTACACATAGATATTTAGTGAAAAACGGCAAATTGTGTTAAAAGCGTGAATTTTGGTATACTTGGTATTTAAACCATAACAATTGATTTGGCCCGTAGCACTACCCCACAACTGTCATTTGTTTATATTTGTTTAAACAATTCACTCGATCTATTAAAAAAGCCCAAAATAGGCTCACCAGATGCCAATGCCAAATAAAATTTACATTGGAAGTTGATAAAAAGGACGGAAACTCATGCTGATCCATCCAAAGGCCCATCCTGACCCAAGTCGCCATTTTGATTTTTTGTTTATACATATTGTTTACTAATTTAGTTAATGCAAAATTATTGATTTTTCGAATATTGCATGTGGGGAATCGATTTCGACTAATTAGGGGTCAAGAAGCTCGACAATTAACATTAGAACTCGTTTCCACGCATTTCAAATACTTCCATGATACAAATTATTGAATTTTTTTTTTTAAATTATGCTATGCGCCGCTCTTATGTGAAATAACGACAATTCCAGTGCCAGAGTAAAGGAGAGCGAAAACCTTTTTTTGATAGGGTTCCACATTTATCCCTTAACAGGTGAATAATACTTTCTTTACTGTGTTTATTTTCTCACTGTGTTTATTTTTTCCAAAATCGGTACGGTACTAGGGCACTTATGACCTTTTATGGGTTGAAAATATGAAAAAATTTGCTTCAAATTGAGCTTTTATTTTTTTTTCTGAAGATTTCCGATAGCGTTCCATATTCATCTTTTGATAGGTGATTAATACTTTCTTTATCAACATTGTGTCCATTTTTTTTTTCGAAATCAGTACGGTTTTAGGGCACTTATGGCTCTTATGGAATGAAAATATGGATAAATTTACTTGAAATTGAGTTTTTATTTTTTTTCTAATGATTTTCGATGGGGTTCCACATGAATCTTTTGACAGGTGATTAATACTTTAATAGCATTTTGTCCATTTTTTTTCAAAATCGGTACGGTTTAAGGGCACGAGTTGAAAATATGAAAAAATTTGCTAAAAATTCAGTTTTTAGTTGTTTTTTTTCTGATGATTTTCGATGAAGTTCCACATTTATCTTTTGACAGGTGATTATAACCTTCTCCATCAAAAATGTTTCTATTTATTTTCAAAATCGGTACGGTTTTAGGGCAGTTATGGCCCTTATGGAATGAAAATATGAAAACATTTGCTTCAAATTAAGTTTTTATGTTTTTTCTGATGATTTTCGATAGGGTTCCACATTCATCTTTTGACAGGTGATTGATATTTTCTCTAACAACATTGTGTCCAATTCTTTTGAGAAATCGGACGGTTTTAGGGCAGTTATGGCCCTTATGGGTTGAAAATATGAAAAAATTTGCTTCAAATTGAGCTTTTACTTTTTTCTGAAGAATTTCGATAGAGTTCCACATTCCACATAAATCTTTTGATAGGTGATTAATGCTTTCTTTATCAATATTGTGTCAATTTTGTTTCCAAAATCGGCACGGTTCTAGGGCACTCATCGCCCTTATGGGTTGAAAATATGAAAAATTCTGCTTCAAATTGAGCTTTTTTTTTCTAAAGATTTCCGATAGCGTTCTACATTCATTTTTTGATAGAAGATAATTACTTTCTTGATCAACATTGCATCGGCGTATACAAGGGGGGGGGGTAATGGGGGTAATTACCCCCCCCCCCAAGATCGTTGCGATGGACGAAAAATATGTACCCTACACCTTACAAATAAATCTATCTTTTATATTTCTATTTTTCAGCCACTGGCCCTAACTTGTTTTCTAGTTTGCACAGTGTCCGCACTGCCCGTATGCCATTTATAGCGAATTCTATTCAAAGGGATAGTGCACACTGACTGTATTCGTATCTTTCTCTACTAGCTTGCATAAGAAAGAGATGAAAATACATTTTTTGCATTAATTCTACCAATGGAATTCGCTATAATTAAAAAGTTTTAGGGGAAACTCATAACGAATTCCATTGGTCAGTGCAAAAAAAATGTATTTTTATCTCTTTCCTATACAAGCTGGTAGAAAAAGACACGAATACACTCAGTGCGCACTAACCCTACCAATGGAATTCGCTATCAGAGTTCGGTTTTGTTATTTGTTGGTAGTACAGGATATATTTACCTAACAAGTGCGGAAAATGAATTTTTCCGCACGAGTCTGTCGCAGCGGAAAAAAGAATTTTCGCATGGGTTAGGTAGGTACAATAGTATTTAGTTGAGTTCGGAATGGGATTTTAGTGCACTGCTAGTGCGGTGTTCGTGTAGTGCAGTGTTGTATCATGTGATGAAGGTGTAATCGGCGGTGTAACACTAAATACACCATCACTCTGTAACGAGTAAACGGTGTCCCACCATCTTTACACCATTTGGACACCAAATCATTTCCAAACGCAAATAAAGTGTACTCCAAACTTACTCCTACCAATGGGGTAGTATACTATGTACGAAAATCAGTAAAAAAACTGTTCCACATTATTCTATAGGCTAAATGGTGATGGTATAGTGGGATACTAAATTATTTTCCAGCATAGTGTCTATAGAATTAGCAGAGAAAAACAAACTGTAATTTAAATTTAGCGCCACAGCGGCGACCAATAGTATTCGAGCCGCTGACCATCTTGCAACGTTGCTAAAAATGCCTCAAAACGACAGCTGTCTTCAACAGTTCAACGACGTGCAATTGACCTTTTGTTTGGACGCCATATTGCGGTGCGCGAACATAGTTGCCAAAAGAAGAAAACAAAAATTACTAGCGGGCTGTCAACATTAAAAACAAAAGTAACTAATGGCGATTTCCATTTGTCAATCAGTGCGCACTGAGTTTATCCGCATCTTTTTCTAAAAGCATATAACATGTAAGGATAAAGCCTAGTCTCCATAGACGCGAAATCGCGGAAAGCGAATTTTTTAAGTGTCATTTTTTGGTGGCTATTTCCGAGCAAATTATTCCCATGTCTCCATAAGCGCGAAATTCGCGTTTTATTTAACAGGTTAAGGTTACCTATGTGTTGTTGTTTCTAATCTTTGAAAACCATGAAAGTGATTACTAAAAAACAAAAAAAGATATGTGTCTTGGTGTTGTCTTAATTACATTTAAGGCCCTATTATAATCTTCCTCATCAACCAGCAAGCTGTAATTTATGTCTGTTTTCGGGTCTACAATATTCAATTCTTTGGCAGTATCCATTCTTTATTAGGTATCTACAAGTATAAAACACATCAACGACTCACAGAGAACAGAGCACATACCGACAAAAACATAAACAAAACTAAACTGAAAGTAACACCACATCACCTCATTTTTTTTTGGCGAAATTTCGCGGAAAGTTAAAAAATAGTTAACTTTTTTGCGACGCCGCAAGAAGTTAAAAAATTCGCGAATTTTTCCCGCCATAAAAAAATCAAATGTTAAATGTCAAATTCCAACCAATCGGAAAATATCCGCAAAAAAAAAATCGCGATTTCGCGTCCATGGAGACTAGGCTTTAGGATACATTTTTTTTGCACTGGTTCGACAAATGGAAAACGCTATAAATGATTGATCTTCACTATCCTTATTATTTCTATTCTGTCCAATACAAGATAAAATTGATGGCTTTTCTTTTCAAAAACCAATGAACTATAGCAAAAACTGGAATGCGCATACATTGCCATATTTGCCAAAAAAATGTAGCCATGAAAGACAGATGCAACAAAGGAGAATGTTGTTTTTTTCTGTTGCTCGCTGACATATGACATTTTGGAAAATTTTGTCATATTTACCTTCACAGGGTTCATCAATTGGAATACGTGTTGGAAGCAATTTCCGCCATTTAACATAATGAGTGCGACAAAAACAGGCATCCAAACATTCGTAATAGGCGGCAAATTTAAATTTGAAATGTAATTTATTGTAACTTTTGTTTTTAATGTTGACAGTACGCTAGCAATTTTTTTTTTCTACTTTTGGCAACTATGTTCGCGCACCGCAATATGGCGTCTAAACAAAAGGTCAAATGAACTATA